GAGCGTAATTGAGGGGTCAATTCTTTGCCTTTACGGCCCATTTTGGTTGTTGATATCTAGGTAAGTAATGGATAACTACGCGTTTGGTGGTATTCTGCTGGCAGAATAGTAGGCGGTAAGGTAGGGGCGGTCGAATACTTTTTGCACCCCACTGTAGTGGCAGAGACGTCTGGAGTTTGAGTATCCGGACTTTCCGGACTTCCGCAACACTCGCTCTGCGCTTGGCTGGCAGGCCAAGACCTCTATTTGCTTCAGCGTGCAGATGTTAAAATTGACTTGCTTCCCCGTACTCCGTACTCCTCGAGTCCTGGACTAGCGGGAGCGGGGCCGCGTCGTCAGCCAGCGATGATCACTGGTTCTGGCCCTGGACTGCGAATTATCCCTTCCGGGATAGGGCGAGGAACTTTTGACGCCCAGGAGCCCTGCGAGGGGCAGTATGCATCATCGGGAGATGGTGCGGGAAGCTACCCCGTAGGAGGGTCCATTGTCTCTCTTCAGCCCTGGTTGCTGAGCAATGTGCCTTGTCTGATTCGACGGAGTTGATCAACTCCGTCTACAAGGGTTGCGTCAGCATCAATATTGATGCAATATCGACTTGCGTACGGGGTAACTTCTTCATGTTGACCGCAACAATAACAGAATGTCGACGGTCGACTTGTGCGTACGAACCTCATGGACGAAAAGGTATAAAGGTGTCACCTGCGCTGGTTGATGAGGTGCTCTATCATCACCATCGCTCTGCTTCTCTCCCATCGCATCTTTACTGCCTCTACCATGGTTCAACTCGCTTCTACCCTTGTCGCTGCCGTGGCTGGCCTCGCCAGCGTTTCCTTGGCGCATCCTGGCCACAATGTCAAAGCCGAGGCTGCGGAGCGTGCGGCTTTCCTGAAGCGGTCCAATGTTGCTCGCAGTTGGGGAGGATGCGCCGCGAAGCTCAAGGCTCGCGGCCTTGAGAGTCGCAGCATTGCTCGTCGTCAGCATGCCGTCCAGATGCTTCGCCGCAGCAAGGGCTTGGAGACTCGTATGCACCCCTCTCAATCCTCTACGTGGGATCAGCATTGACTTAATCACTCTCTAGGTGCTCCTTTCCTCAAGGCTCGCGACCTTGACGCTCTCAACACTTCCCACGAGTCTTCTTTGGATGTGGACCTGTCCACCGACCCCTCGGTCCTGTTCTCCTCTAACGCAACCTGTGTCCTCGGACCGGATGTTACTCAGGGACCTTACTGTATGGTTCATTGTTGCTATGGTAGATCATTGGCTATTGACTGACGACCTACAGATGTTAGCGGCGAATTGATTCGCAAAGACATCACTGAGGACCAGGCGGGTGTCCCTCTCTACGTGGATATCCAGATGGTCGACAGCTCCACCTGCGAGCCTGTCACCGGTGTCTACCTGGACTTCTGGCATTGCAATGCTACTGTAAGTCTCTCTTGAAATAGGCTCAAATGAATTCAACTGACAGCACAGGGTGTCTACTCCGGCGTCGTCGCCAATGGAAACGGCAACTCCAACGACGACAGCAACCTCGACGCCACCTTCCTCCGTGGTCTTCAGAAGACCGACGACGAGGGTGTCGCCCAGTTCCAGACCATCTTCCCGGGCCACTACACCGGACGCGCCACCCATATCCACGGTACGCTCATTCTTCTGATATGATGAGACTAAGCTAACCTGGTCATGTCCAGTCCTGACCCACTCCCTCGACGAAACCACCGTCAACGCCAACAACACCCTCGAAGCCCTCTACACCGCGCACTCCGCTCACGTCGGTCAGATCTTCTTCGACCAGGACCTCATCTCCACCGTCGAGGAGACATCCCCTTACACTTCCAACACCCAGGATCTCACCACCAACGCCGAGGACAGCATCCTCTCCGAGGAGGCCGACACCATCGACCCCTTTGTCGAATACGTTCTTCTGGGTGACTCCGTCTCCGACGGCATCTTCGCTTGGATCTCCCTTGCCATGGACTCCTCCGAGAGCAGCTCTGTGACTCCTGCCGCTTACTACACTGCGGATGGTGGTGTCGAGAACGAAAGCTCCGGTGGCTCCGGTGGTCCTGGCGGCTCTGGGTCCGGCGGCCCTGGCGGCTCTGGCTCTGGTGGCCCTGGCGGTGCTCCTCCTAGCTAGATGGTGAGCTGGATTTTGGTTTAGGCTCCTGTTGTCGAGCGACCTGTTATTGTGCTGTTTAACCATATAGTTATTTTAAGTGTACAGGGGAGGTAAAGTCAAGGACAGATAGTTACGCCATCACTCGTTAGGCGTAACCAAGCAGAATACATTGAATTGTACTTATTACATTCTACATTCACTCCTTGAGCATTGTCAACTCACTAGAGGCTAGCCCTATGGCTGCTACTTTAGACCCTCTTCATATTCAATATCTCGAGTCTCCGTACACAAGCTGATTCAGCGGCTGTTTCAAAATTAGATGTTGTCTAGCAGGAGTAACAAGACATTGATCATGCTGCCAAAGAGCCCCCTTTCCCCTACTCTCCTACTTTCTTCCTTATCTCTTCGCTTCGTCTCGGCCACTCTCTGGTGGACAGCCATGGCTAGGACACCTCGGTTCCACATCAGTCTGTCTTAGTTGTCCTGCTTTGCTAAGAACATCCAAAACTATGCGTACGGTCTCGCCTTCTGGCAGGGCATCCGAATGTTCGCTCGTGGTGAGGTCAATGAGCCGGGTGACATCGTAACGTATGCCTTCGCTTCCCTGGCTGATGATCAGGACTGATTCTCTTCGCAGCGTCATCTTCGCGGTCGTCGTTGCCGCCACAGCTCTGACCCACATCGCGCCTCAAATCATAACAGTCACCAAAGCCGCCGCTGCTGCGGACGAGCTCTTCCGCATCATCGACAAGAAGTCCGCTATCAACTCCCTCTCAACCGCAGGGTTGACGCCCGAGAAATGTGTTGGCGAGATCAAAATAAAAGCTCTCGAGTTTGCCTACCCATCTCGTCTAGATACACAAGTCCTCAACGGCCTGAACCTGAGTGTCCCTGCTGGTAAGACTACAGCCCTGGTCGGCACCAGTGGGTCGGGGAAGAGCACCATAGTCGGGCTTCTAGAGCGCTGGTACGACCAAGCAGCGGGTCTGATCCTGCTCGACGGCATCGACATCCAGAAACCCAACATTGCCTGGCTACGCACGCAAATTCGCCTTGTGCAGCAGGAACCGGTCCTCTTTAGCGGGACAATCTTCGACAACGTCGCTTTCGGCTTGGTAGGCACACAGTGGGCGGAGGCTTCGTACGAGCAGAAGCGTGCTCTTGTGAAAGAAGCTTGTCAAGACGCTTTTGCGCATGACTTCATTGAGAACTTGCCCAAGCAGTACGATACGCAGATCGGTGAGCGTGCGCGCATGCTGTCTGGAGGGCAAAAGCAACGGATCGCTATCGCACGCAGTATTGTATCTCGGCCATCGGTTCTGCTGCTGGATGAAGCGACGAGTGCTCTTGACCTGAAGGCTGAGAAGATTGTCCAAAGCGCACTGGATAATATCTCTGTCGGCCGAACTACCATCACCATTGCGCACAAATTGGCTACGGTGCAGAAGGCGGATAATATCGCTGTCATGTCCGCTGGTAGAATCATCGAGCAAGGGACGCACCATGAACTCATTGCCAGAGACGGTGCTTATGCGAGACTTGTCCGGGGGCAGGATCTGCAGAAGACAAATTGCAAGGCTGAAGAGCAGGCTGACTCAGAGAAGGCAGTTAGTGAGGAGAAGGATGATGCGAAGTCTGCCGTGAAGCTGTCGCTGCATCGCACAAGGACTGTGGGTGCTGAGTCTCTGTCTGTGGATGAGAAGGCCGAAGCACTTGCAAAGGAGACTATGGGATACAGTCTCATTCGGTGTCTGTGGCTTTTGATAAAGAAGCAGCGGAAGCTATGGGGATTGTACGCGATTGTCGCTTTCGTGTGTATTCTTGGAGGTCAGTGTTGCCCTAGAAAGGTGGAGAATGGGGAGTGAATTGACGTCGGGCTAGGAGTTATATGAGTTGCATACGTGTATTTATCGTCTTCTGGACTTCAAGTGTCAACAAGGCCGCCCCCTCCAGTCAGGCCAATCACTTAATTCTTTCTATCTGCGAACTGCCTCTGACTAACCGTAGGATCCGCTACACATACCAATATTGCCATATCATTCCTCGTCAACATCGTTCCGACTATCCGTCCAAACTCGACGCATCAAGCAGGAGTCAGACACACCTTCGTGCCATTCCGAGAGCACAAGGTCAAGGCCAGCGATTCCTCCCACGGTCCCGTATCTCGACTCTCCAAGAGACGGAACGTCTGGGCCATCCGGACGACAACATAGCCAACTTCGGTCAGAGCATATCGCTGGCCGATGCAGATGCGCGGGCCGCCATTAAAGGGCAGATAGCCCCAGCGGGGCTGTAGTTTTCCATCCTCCCAGCGCTCTGGGCGGAATTCCTCTGCGTCTGGTCCGTAGAAGTCTGTCCGTCGATGCATTGCGTATGCGTTGTAGCTCACGAGGGTACCTTTGGCCACGAAGACCGGCGAGAGGCCATCCTTGCCTCCTCCGAGTGGGAGGACGGTATCTCGGACCGCCTCGCGTTCATTGCGTGGTACGACTGGATGTAGACGTAGCGCTAAGGGAGTTAGTGAGGTCAAGGTCGAAGGGGACAGGGTAGTAGAGAGCGTTCTCTTACATTCATTCATACAGCACTGGACATATCTAAGGCTGCGAAGCTCGTCGTAGCTTGGTGCCCGACCCTGTAAACCAGCTACTTCTCTGCGCAACTTGTCCCAAATTGCTGGATTCTTGGCCAGCATGAAGAACAGATTGCTGAGCAGACTGGCAGTAGTATCACGACCAGCCAGCAAAACATTCATCAGCTCATCCAGAACGCGATGCTTATCGGATGTCCGCGACGCCAATTCATGCGAGAAAATATGCTTCTGGCGCTTCGTCTCGGCTTGTTGTTCTTCTTTGTCTTCCTTTTTCACCTCGACTGCGTGGAATGCCTCCTCGACGAACTGCTGGACGAACTCCCGGCAGATGCGATTGCACTCGTCGGCCTTTCTATCGCGGTAGAATATGCGCAATGGGCCCAGCGTGCCTCGCGTGATGATGGCCTTCTGCGCATAATGAAATGCCTGGGCAAAACCGAGCTCCGAATGAGTCTTCTTCAAAGTACCCACTGATTGTCCGAACAGGAACTCGGTTGCGGAGTCGATCGTGTAGCGGAAAAAGAGATCCTGCAAGTCCACGACTGTCTTTCCATCACGCGGGAGTAACGAGAAGAGGTCCTGAATCAGATTCTCAAACGACGTCAGGTCGGCTACTTGGTCCCGGGCAAAGCTGGGCCGGATCAGGGCGCGCGATGAGGCCCAGTGGTCGCCATCGGTGTCGAAGATGCCCTCTCCCAACAGCGGTTTGAACGGCTCGAGGCGGTGGCTAATGCCGTAGTCCTTGAATTTCAGAGACAGGATTGTCTTGATGTTTTCCGGCTCCACGGTCAAGATTGCACGTTTTTGCAGCTCTTTTACCGTGAATGTGTTGCTGTAGACACGGAAGAGCTCGCAACTCCTTTCAAGAATTTTATGCTGTCTCAGAGCGCGGATCGTCCCGGGGATTGTATCGAGTCCCAGGAAAGGATCCTTATTGAAGGATCTCGCCACTGGCTGGCAACTGTGGGCGCGTGCGAACTGACGGCGGATGAAGAAACGCCTGACGGACACGCATGCGATGGTTCCGAGCGCGGCGACCAGCACGAATACTAGCTTCGGATGGAAATTCAAATACATCTCCACGGTCATTACACAGATAGCAACAAGGAAAGATGAACTGGTGGATTCAGATAGGGCGGGCTTCCACAAAGCTTGATCAGAACAGTCTGTGGAAGCGATGGATGCATGATAGGACGAAGAATCTAGCTTACTAAACGATGACTGAGCGAGCAAGCATATGCGAGGCAGACGTTGTCTTCGAAAGGCACATGCAGCATAAGCATGGATCCACTAGTGAATCCTTCGTCCTGTGCGTGTACAAGTAGTCAATGTAAGCTGGTGTAAGCCGGGCGAAGCAGCACTTGTAACAAACATAGGTGCATCCGAGCCACAGCCAGACACACTATTGAACAGCTTGACAGGCAAAGGTAAAGGGTACGATCTCGGTCCTTGCCTGATAGCGCAGTACAATGGATTACGTTTCACTGTTCCCTGTCAAGCCAGCATCAGCCGTCTGGCGAGACCACACCGAAGACATCGTGTCCTAAGCCTTTCCTTTTCCCTGCTAGACTTGGTTCTTGCATGATCTCGTACATCATGAGAACATTCGAGTGCCCGACGACTCTTCATCCGCCTGGCCTAAGGCTCCCCACTGTCGCCTGTTCTTTATTTCTTCTTTAACGCAGATCAAATATCTGCCCAACCGACACAGTCAAGCTTTTAGGAGTCGCATTTGACGAGCAACTCCGGTTCAAGAAGCATCTCAGCCGGATCACCAAAAGAAGCATTAAGGTAGCCAGGCATTGTGCGTCTTCGTGGGAATTATGCTCATCCTCTATCACAAAGCTGTCGAGCGGCGATCTGTCAGTCCGCCTACGATGGCTCGTTCAAAGTGACCAAGGCCATCTTTGGCGGAGTGGAGTGAATATGGTACGAAACGTGGTTCATGTACGCTTCCGGGAAATATCTATCCAAGACAGACTAGGGTTGGACAACGATCAGTGCTCACAATTCCCACGTCGTCTTCACCTCCTCAACCTCCTTCATGACATCCCCCCATCCTAAAGCCGCCCATCTCTGCGGCCTCTTTAGCGCATCCACAAAATGCCTCATCGCCAACACAAACTGCGCCGCCCACTTTTCCGCACTCACCCCTCCCGCCCCCGTCGCCAGTGGGGTAATCAAAATCGACTCAATCCGGTTCTCTCTCTTCCGGCATCGATTCCATCCCTCGACCTGACACAACAGACTCCACACACACTCATACACAATCTCCCGGTCCCACCTGACCCGGTCCGGGGACCGCATCGTCGGACAGATCGCCACCCAGCGACAACCCCATTTATTTTCCCCGACCAGTTCCTCTGGGAAGTGGACGAGTGTACAGGACCCTGGAGGTGCAAAGCCCCTCCACCGCTCGTAGAGGACTGTCTGAGCTGCTTTGGTGAGAGTGTCGTATGCGTGGTTCGGGGGGCGGCAGAATGTGCGGGATATGGCGTCGTCGAAGGCGCCGTCGAGTCGGCCGTAGGAGTTTGCCGGTGAGACAATGAGGTCGAACTTCGTGCTGGAAGGGACTCGGCTGAGCGAGGTGTTGAGGATGGTGATGGTGGGTTTGGGGGTGGTGCCGCTTTCGGGCCAGTGTTGGGCTAGAGCCTGTTGGAAGGCGGGGATGAAGCGATCTTCCATGCAGAGGACATTGATACGTGGGACGTCTGCGAGGGCCATTTTGGTAGTTGTTCTTGTCTTTGATGTGGGAGTTGACAGGGGATACAGAGCAGGATATACTCCGTACTCCGCATGGAATGTGGCTTAGATTGCTGCCTGTTCGGCATCAGGGAGGACAGATTTCAGCTTCTGTCGGTGCACACTGTGGCTGTGTATTTTTCCCTTTCGATGATATCAATTTTCAGCCTATGTCTCTCTTCTCTGCCAAGCGGCATGCTTGACGTAAGATCTTTGGAACACGGTGTGGTTGCACCAGGTTGAGATCCCCAAATGATGCAGTGCGATGGACCCCGCAGTGTGATTGCGGTCTGTCCTCCGATTGGCCAAGAAGTACAAATAAGCTTAAGCCCGGGCCGACTCGGAGGTATGAATGACCGACGCCGAGATGCCAAGAAGTGGCACAACTTTTCGATTGACCATCTCCGCTACTTGTAACTATTAGGCATCTGCAATCATCGAGAGATCGTACTATGGATCATATCCGCCGGTACAACGTCGAGCGATCCTGTCTCCGCTGCCATCAACGCAAAGTTCGCTGCGACAAGGGTTCCCCCTGCGCCGCCTGTGTCCGGTTGAAAGTTCCCTGCCAGTATCCAAGCCCCAATAGAGTCCAACGGCGTCCGCCAAAAGCCACTTCGGCAGATGTAGTCTCTCGTATAGATCAGCTGGAGAGGGCAGTGACTGAACTGATCCGCAGTCCATCAATTGCCAGATCAATACATGACAATGAGACGAATGCCGCACGATCAACTCCTCCTGAGCCTCAGCCTCGACAGGGCCTTTTGGTGCGGGACGGTCGGTATATCGACGAACATCTGCTGTCCGGGTTCCTTGAGAAAGACAAAGAACTGCAAACTGCTATTGGCACGCCCCGGTCCGTTGCAAAGAGCCCTGGACGACTGTCGCCTCTGAGGGTCGAGGGACTCATTACCAACTCACTGCGCGAGCACATAGATTTCCAGGCGCTGCAACCTAGTCGATGGCATGCCACACAGCTCTGGCAGGTTTTCCTTAGCCGCGTCGATCCAGTGGTGAAGGTTCTACATATTCCGTCGACGCAGCCACGGGTCTTTGCGGCCATCAACCAGCCTCGGGACGCGTCTGTGGATGCCCATGCGCTGCTGTTCGCCATTTGCTTTGCAGCCACAACAAGTTTACTCTCAGATGATCCCTTGCGGGAGGGGATCCGCTCGGATATTCGCCGGTATCAGCAGGGGTTCGAGCTTGCCCTCTATCGCTCCTCGTTTTTGGACGCGCCGACTCTGACCTCGCTGCAAGCAATGGCCATCTACCAGGTATGCACATGACAGTTGTCTGAAAGAAAGGCTATAACTCGGATGAGTAGACATGTCTGCGCTACCACAATAGCGGCCGCTCCAACTGGACACTCCACGGCCTCACCACCCGCGCTGCCCAATCCATCGGCCTCCACCGCGACGGACGGCACTTCAACCTCTCACCGCTAGAGTGCGAACTCCGCCGCAGGCTGTGGTGGCACATTGTGACGTGCGATCAACGCGCCGCGGAAGACCACGGCGTCTCCGTTGTCGCGCATAACGAACCCTGCGACACGAATCTGCCTTCCAACCTCGACGACCAGGATCTCTCCGCGACGGCGACCGTGCCACCGGCACCTCAACCGCGCTGGACGGAGATGACCTTTCCGCTCATCACGATAGAAATCAACCGTCAATTGCATGAGATCTCACGAAAGGCGTCTATAGGTGTCTCGCCCGATCCACTAGTCAGGCAACTCCAGGACTACATGCAGCGCAATTACCTTCAACACGGGGATGCCAATATTCCCATCCAGCGGCATGGCTTACTTCTAGCCGACGTCCTGACCATGAAAGTCGCAGTCTACGCAAGGCAGAAAGCACTACAGACCCAGACCCAGGGCCAGGGCCAGAGTCAGAGCCAACAGCATGAAAGTCCGACAGCGCAAGAGACGCTGGCGATGGCCTGCCACGGCCTCGAGTGCGGACTGGAACTGCAGACGAACGACCTGCTCCGCGGCTTTCGCTGGCTTACCACCACATTCACACAGTATCATCTTTTATCGTATGTTCTGTGGCATCTGTCTGTGTATCCGGCGAGTGTGCATGTTGATCGGGCATGGCGTAATGCCGAGGAGAACTTTGAGGCGGTGGAAAGGGATCCCGCGTGGCCGGATCCGGGGCCCAAATGGGCGATTATCTCGCAGTTGAGAGCCAAGGCGTTGAGGGCGAGAGAGGGATTGACGAATAAGCAGGTCGATTTCCAGGAGCATGGACCGGAGAATGTATTCGACTGGGGGAATTGGGATCTGGAGTTGTTCGGGTCTGGAGAGTGGACTGTTTGATCATTATGATATCCTACACGTTCAGAGATATATGACAAAGAAATCTACATCTTACGCTAAAACTTGGCTTTCACCACCCCGTCTGCGCCACCCTCGCCGCCATCACAAATCCCGTCCCAACCAGCAACATCACCCCCGAGAAGATCTTCATCCCCGTATACGAACCCCCATCCCGCTGGAGAATGGCTCCCGCAATCGGACTCGTCGTCAGTCCACCAACAGACGAGAAACAACAACCCCGTCCGGTACCTGATCTCCTGCAGCGGGGAGATACCCACCACCAGCGCCGGCGCAAGACTGACATACGCCCCGGACGCAAACCCAAACACCACCGCAAAGACAACGATAGCCGCATTCCCCGACGCAGGAATCCACAACCCCAGCACAACAGCCCCAGCCAGAAAAACCACGCCGACACAGATATTATACGCACCGACGCGATCGGAGAACACCCCCGCCGACAAGCGCCCAAACAGACTCCCCGCGTTCAGAACAGCAACCAGATACTGCGCCAGGGCAGCACTCATCCCCGCATGCACCGCCTGCACAACAATGTAATCGATAGGAATAAACACCCCAAACGTCAAGCACACAAACCCCAGCACAAGAAGAACCATCTTCGCCTCGCCAAACGGCCGAAGCAGACTCTCCCGACTGAAGCCCCCCGCACTCGGCGTCCCGCGCGCTCGGATGCTCAAGTTCGCAACGCCAGGATCACGAATGCCGCGGTGCGCATCGTCCACGCGTACCCGATGCTGCCCATCAACCGGCTCACCATAATCGGGAAGATCACGCCGATGGCGCTGCAGACGCCTTGGGAGAGGAGCAGCTGGTAGTATTCTGTGGACAGCGAGGCCAATGATGTGGCGGGGGCCGAAGGTGTCGTATAGCTTTCCGACGATGGGGCCCTACGTATGTCAGTGATGCACTGTCGTTGCTGGGGTTCGTAGGGAAATACCATGGCGAACATGAAGAAGACTTGTAGAGAGGGAATCCAGGATATCGTGCTGGGGGAGTGTTCTCGTAGGAGAGTGGTTTCGTAGTAGCTTTGGAATGTACCGATGCCTGTCTCGTTAGTTTGCGATATGTATAGGGAAGGCTGGCGTACTGTTTATCCAGCCGAAACTGCAGAGAGGATGCACCATGCGCCGAACAGCACTAGCCATGCAGTGATGCCTCCATCAGGAGGGGGATCGTTGTTATTCCAAGCTGGTGGTTTTTCGATATCCTGATTGGCTTCATGAGGCGATTTCATAGGAGGATGCTCGGAAGTCTCCGTCTCATGGATTGTGGAGGTAGAGCTTTCATGCGTTGGGTCTGACGTAGCCATCTTAAATCACTTGAAGGGATTTTCCTCCTCTTTTTGAAATATGCAAAAGTAAGATTGGGTTTGTAGGCAGGTACAAATTGAAGGTTCTTAGTCTTGATATAGACCTATCGCTCGGCGCGGCGTTGGTGAACAGCCGACCCCGTTGGTCTCGGCCGTTCATCTCCTTAGGGTTGACAGGTGGACCAATAGTTCGAGCACGACAAATACCATAGCTGAGTAGTTATAACTCATAATCTTGCCTCTTGAATGAACATTGGTCTTTCATAGAAAGGGGACCTTAGGTCAAAATAAGTGTGGTCCGATTCCACTAAGACTAAGCAAAAAAGGTCAGGAAATGGCCTTCTGGTACAAGGGGAAAGGTCATTCGACATCATCCTTCTAGGAGTGTATGGACTCTGACCATGCCAAGGGAGGTGGCTTGCCTCTCAGAAACAATCAGCATGCACGCCAATAGGGAGATATGTAGATAATCAGTCCTATGAGCATCTCTAGAACATGGGGTCGGTTGCCAACCTGGGAAATCCCCATTGCTTGTGCCTGTAAGAGCTTGCGAGCGAAGCAAGCCTACGCAGTACGCAGTGAATTGCATGAATAAATCCGTCTGTTAGAAGAGACTGGCCATGTATCCAACGAGACGAAGCGCAAACGATCAGTCTAATCTTCAGATACCTAGGGATAAACTAGGCAACCTCAGCAGTCCGGCCTAGCCTTGCACCAAGCTCAAGTGGAGGTACCTTAGCATTGAGCACTCGATTGGCCCGTGTCAGACATTTCAATCATTTATACAGAGTAATAGGGCTTTTTTCCCTTATTTTTTCTTTTTTCCTCATACTCTTTTACCTGCGCAATATGCCAAGCAAAATTCGAATACTAGCCCATGCACCTTCGACTGGGAAAGGCTTCTGATTGGGAGAGGCTCTTACCAATTGCTACCAATGGTTAGCAATGGCTCCTAACTGTTGCTAACAGTTGCCCATAGTCGCCCATTGTTGCCCATAGTCGCCCATGCTCCCCATTGCTCCCTATTACTTACTACTCCATGCTCCCACTCATACTACAACCTGCCTTGCCTAAATAATGCCTACGCAGAAATCACACACATACACACACTCATATTCAGATTGTACATATATGAGTTCCTCCCTCATCAAAACATAATGAGCTACAATATCTAGCTCAATTCCCTGTAATCGCCTACACCTTATTCTCCGTTTAACTTGTTCATTCAGGTTTTATTTCCATTCTAAGCAAACATGTCTGAATTACCAGATTTCTTGGACTCATTTATGGATACATCTACTCAAGAAACCAACCCTGAGGTTTACCATTCTCATGCAGAAGTTGATGACGATACTCTATTATACAATCAGTGCAATGTTATTCCTTACCGTTTGTCACTTTTTGAGAATCCATCTTCTCCCTTTCTAGTTGCTATGCCATCCAACTTTCAACTCGGTGAAAGTATACAGCCGCCAGCCAATCAGATGCCGAGTTTCGTTTCGGCCTCATTTCCTTTGCTCGGCACAATGACGCACGCAATGGGTGGAGTCGACGATTCCAATGACGATCACCGGTCTGTCATTACTACTGCTCACTCTCCTCGTCCGAACGACATGGCAAGCAGTGCCCCAGGCTATCCCCTGGCTGAACCTGCCAAGGGGAAGCTAGCTGTGACATCTATTGAGACTGCAAAGAGAAAAGGGTATGCCTCAACCCGAACACAGCAATAGGCTAGACTGAGACACTCTTTTACAGATTCACTGCCAATGAAGACAGCCCCAGATGCCAATGGAAAGGGTGCAGGAACAGACGTTCCTTCAACCGCAAGGAGGATCTCTTGCGCCATGTGAGAACCGTTCATATATTCCCAGGCTTACACGTCTGTCCTGTCAAGGGATGCTACAAGAGGTGTAACAGAGAGGATAATCTCAAGGAACATATTTACCGATGCCATGGAAAGGCAGCAAGTGCTGAGGACAATTCCGAATGACTTTGACGATGGGATGATCGGTTGAAGTTACAATGGCCTTCAGAGTCATATTTTTGTTCACGAATCAGTGACGCTTAGCAAATTGTCATTGGAATTCCATTGCTTGTATTAGGTATTTGCATCGGTAATAATTGCTATCTTCAGGAGTATTGATAGCTGGGGCTTGGCTCAGAGTAGTCGCAACATAACTCTAAAGGATTATATCCCATTATTAGTATTTTCCGCATTATTACCGGAGGTACTCTGTCGCATCCTTATTGCATAGCGTAACTGTGACTACACTCAGACTAATCAGGTGGTGAAGTCTATTCTCCTCCTCGAGTTTGATGCGCTCAAGGATCATCCATGTTGACGGGCCACCCTCTAACCACTAAGTCGAAGTCTCACATGGCCAAATCGGGATGACCTATCGGTCCAATGGCAGCATGAGAGTGGTGCCACAGAAAATCCCAGTTGGCTGTTCTAGTTCTTCTGCGCATATTTGATGTCAACGTCTGACCTCTATCATAATGACGTGTATCATTTAGACTGGGGACTTTGTTTCTCGTAGCGGGGGCCAACATGCCAAGAACGGGAGAGAAGCCCTAAGCTGGGATTATACTCGATCAACCACTTATAGCTGAGATCAACATGCTGCCACATAATCCACAACTCACTTCATTTCGATCTGGATAGTTATTCCAAGGTTCTCTCAGTCACTACATCCAATCCAACCCACCCCAAAATGGCACTGACCCGCGACCATCTGGCATCTCTACCCGCCAGCTTCTTCAAAGCCGTTGACGCCCGGGATCTTGACGGTATAGTCTCCCACTTCGCGCCGCATGCTACTTTCACCGTGCAAACCGACCATGTCACGGCCACCGGTGTCGACGAGATCCGCAATATCTTTGCAGCATTCATCCAGTCGTCCCGAACGATGTGCCACGAGATCACCAACATCCTTGTCGATGAGGTCAATCGCAAGGTTTCCAGCGAGCAGACTTACCTTGGAGAGCTCATGGACGGTACGCAGAATGATATGCGGAATTGCAACTTTTTTGACGTCGATGGTGATGGCAAGTTTACAAGGGTGGTGGTTTGGATGGCGGGAACGAATCCCCTGAAGCATCCTGCCAGGCACGATACAGCTTAAGTGCGGGTATGAATGAATTCGATCATATACCTGTATGTATATGCTTTCCTAGTCGAGAAATCTTCCTATATAGTCGAGTATACTGTCGTGTACAAGTCATGCAATACAATAAATGGTGTGATATTAACTTGAATAAAAGTTCCCAATCGAAGATAAATATAACAGAAAGGGAGGTTATGGCTTGTTTCGGGGTGATGCTTAAAATGAATGAAATGATGCCATCGGAACTATCCCTAACAGCCACACGGAGAGCTTCCGCAGCCATCCAAGATTTGGCCTTTCATTCTTCGAGATTCCAACTACTCAGAATCAGATCACGAATAAGCATACGCCGATAACGCCATCCGCTAGAGTGAAAAGTGTACGCTGAATACTCCACATGAGCCAACGCTAAGATCCGAATTGCCCAATCAGCATCCATAATACAAAATACAAGTATAAATCTTGATCACTAGAGATTGCCCATGCTGAAATTCACACAAGAGCAAGGTCAGCATGCGATAAAATCCCCAGTGCTGTGACTAATAGCACTGGTTGCACGGTGTCGTGGCTGGTGCCATGTAACCTCACAGATAACGACTCGATCCTCTTAGGGCCAAAACCGAGACGCAAGGGGCCGCTTAAATACTTGCAACTTCCGGCATGTCTCTCGCCACTTTTTATGTTGGAAATACCTCCATTCTGGTAGACAATCGGTCAAAATGGGCCTTTTGACGCGTTTCAATCGAAAACGAAGAGCCAGCCATGGCAGTAACGACACCTCCAGTAACTCCCCGGTCAGCAGCGATGAACCCAAAACCGTCTCTGCAACTGCAACGCCCCTGAAGGATGCGGAGAAAACCCAGCCGGTCAGCGAAACAACCGCCATCGAGCAAGAAACGGAACAGGATCCAGAGGTTGCAGCACTTCCCCTCGAGGTCCGCCAACTGGTCAGCCTCACAGATGATCCTACCCTGCCCACCATCACCTTTCGCTATTTCCTTCTCTCGGTCATCTTTGTCGTCCCTGGAGCTTTCTTGTCGCAGATGAGCCATTATCGTACAACTCAGGCTCCGTATTCCGTCTTCTTCGTGCAGATTGCCTGTCACTATGTCGGCCACTTTCTCGCCCGGTGGCTGCCTGCCTGGACTATCCGGGTTCCACTGACGGGATGGGCCTTCAGTCTTAATCCTGCACCGTGGAGCATCAAGGAGCATGTGCTCGTCACCTTGACGGCGGCATCCGGAGCTTCCTACAATCTGGGGTACACTCCGATCTCTCTGGCGGAATTGTTCTATGGACAAAGAGTGAACCCGGCCGTGGCAATCTTCTTCATGTTTTCGATTGTCTGGATTGGGTATGCCTTTGCCGCTATTGCGCGTCAGATCCTCCTGTACGATCCCTCTTTCATCTGGCCTCAGGCCCTGATGCAGACCACCCTGTTCGAGACATTCCGGAAGCAAGACACGTCCTCTCCTTTAGCCAAACGCCAGATGAAGATCTTTTTCTTTTCGCTCGTGGGTATGACTCTGTGGCAGTTTCTCCCCGAGTATGTCTTTCCATTTACGTCGTCGCTTGCCTTTCTCTGCTGGGTTGCGCCCCGTAACCCGTTCGCAAATTTTATTGGATCAGGTCTGGGCGGAATGGGGTTCCTGAACCTCTCCCTGGATTGGTCCAACATCAACTGGAACGGATCGTCGATTCTGCTCACTCCCTGGTGGACGCAGGTGGTGTTGTTCCTGGCATTTGCGTTCAGCTGCTGGGTGCTTATTCCAGCTGCAAAATGGGGGAATCTGGGCTCATACAAGCACGGGTTGATGTCGAATTCTCTGCTCACGGCCAATGGCACAAAATATCCCACCCTGGATCTGCTGACATCCGACTTTCGTCTGAATCAAACGGCCTACGAAGAAATCGGCCCCATGTACATGGGTCTGCAGAACGTCTGGGCCACATTCTTCGACTACGCCAAGGTCACGGCGTCCGTGGCATGGATCTCCACTTTTGGCTACACCCAAGTCAAACGAAACCTATTCAAGATGCTCAGGTCCCGGAACAAAGCGTCGCAGGCCAAAGGCGAAGGCATCAACCACCAGTACCACGACCGCCTCAACGTCCTCCAGCGATCATACAAGGAAGTCCCGCTCTGGTGGTACGTGGCGCTCTTCATGGCCGGCTTTATCATCCTCATCGTCTCCATCGCCTGCGGCAACCTCTGGATCCTTATCTGGACCCTCTTCGTCGCACTAGGCAGCGCTGCCGCCCTGGTTCTCCCTTTCTCCTTCCTCTACGCCATCTCCAACTACCAGCTCTCCGTCGGCTCCTTCAACGAGCTCATGTACGGCTACATGGTGCACACCAAAGCCGGCGAAGGCCACCGGCACCCCTGCGGGCCCTCAACCTACGGCTCCATCGCCGGCGACGCCTGGTACCGCGCGCAGTACATGCTGCAGGACCAGAAAATCGGGCACTACATGCACATCCCGCCGCGCACCGTCTTCTTCTCGCAGGTCTTCGGCACCCTCCTGGGCATCCCCATGAACTACGCCGTCATGCGCTGGGTCCTCAGCACGAAACGCGACTTCCTCACCGGCGCCAAGTCGGACCCGCTCCACCAGTGGACCGGCCAGTCGCTGACCTCGTCGAACACCCTCGGCGTGCAGTACGCCGTCATCGGGCCCAAGGAGCTCTTCAAGGAGAGCGAGATGAGGCCGCTCCCCTGGTCGTTCTTGCTGGGCGCGGTACTCCCGCCTATGCTGTACGGCCTGCATCGTCTCCTGCCGCGCTGGCGCATCGATCTCTGGAACGTGAGTATCTTCTTCTCCGGGCTGTCGGTGTTTTACGGGAATGTGAGCACGGGGTACACGTCTGCTATCATCGGGGGGTATGTGGTGATGTACTGGGCGTATCGGAAGCGGTTTGAGGTGTGGAAGCGGTACAGTTATATGATTGCTGCGGCGTTCGATGCCGGGTTTAACCTGAACATGCTGCTGATTTTCTTGTTCTTTGGGTCGGGGAGGCAGATCTCCATGCCGAACTGGTGGGGGAATAATCCGGATTCGGTGGAGAGGTGTTTTGCTTTGTAGTTGTGTGTATTAGCGATCAATGGACCATTGTCAGACTGCTAGGCTATCCATAGCTCTGAGAAACTTGGCATTATAAATTCTCCGCCATCACTTTGGTCTCGTAGCCAATAGCAATGGGTTCATCTAGACCCCTGATGAGCGAAAGTCCTTGGCATCATACCCGGATATCACTATATCATAGTGTAACCTTCATTATAATGATTCTGCGCGATGAGTCATTAAGATTTAAGCACAGCTTGGTTACATTGCAGGCAGTGGAAGGATCCTCAGTTTAAGTATCGAGGTAGGCTGATCTCATCCCACTGTATTTGCACTTGTCTTTGCCCCCTAGTTGTTCTAAGACTCAACGAGGTGAGGAACGTCGATCTTCCATAGTCCTTATGTTTCCTTCGGCCTAAAAATGTCCGAACTCACCATCGATAATAAAACCTGTCCGTTGAAAGTTCCCGGCTTTCATGATATTGCCGTCAATGTCGAGCTTCCACGGAATCAATTTGCAGCGGGGATCAAAAACTGGCGTGGCTCAATTCTCACTGCGAAGGAATTAGCAATGTTGGATTCGATCAATACTATTACTGAGAGACCGGACTGGCATGTGCGGATTTTCAAGCAGGAAGAGATCGCTCGATGGCGAGACGATGCTCTGTCATCCTCGTCGCTAATCAACGACCAGACGTGGAGCTGGTGTTTGAAAGAGTTGCAAGACAAGGCAAGAGACTTGGAGAAGTATGGCCGCGTGATCGTTTTGAACACAGGCAGCGGTGTCTGTAAATCTGATACAGCGATCTCTACGACCCTACAGTCACAGCTACAAGACGCCGCGATTTTTTTGACTAAGGACTTGGCGCAGATACAATATCAAAACGCTCAGAAGTCAGCGGTGGCAAACCTTGTCGATCCGTCCCTGTTCCCTCTTGTCTACGGGAGAACAAAAGTCTTGACCGGAGGGCAATCCTGCGGAATGGACGAAGCTTCCTGGTCATCTCGCGTTCAAGAATGCCAAATTGCACCAGAGCGACCGCCATTTGCTCAAGAAGACGCTTGGGCACACCTGAGATTGGGATGCATTTGGTCGACCAGATTTCAGTGGCTGCCTTGCGAAGTGGAATTCACTGGTCCTCCTGGGTCCACTGATGTTCGAATTACTTCTTACATCAACAATCTCCATCCGACAAACCGGGACATGTATTCAGCAATCGAGGCAGTTCTTGCAAGCAGTATCAAGCAGTGGAATGAGATACTGATTCGAGAGAAATGGAAGGAGCCGTCCAGCACCACCATTGGACATTGCAATCCCTGTCCTCGTGAGCCGATTCGAATACGGACTTACGGAGTGGACTGGAAAGCGCGATTTCTCGAGTGGGCTAAAAAGCTACCCGAGCAGTCCAAGGAGGACCAACTAACTGCCGAGGAATACGAAGAAATGTGCGCTCAAGTGGAGGCGTACCTTCAGCAACCCGAATCCCGGGATAAGGTACATTGGTTTCAGGTCACAACGCAAAAGATCCCGGAGGATTGGAAGACACGTTGGGGGTTGCGTCGCACCGCCTTAACAAAGTATGCACACATGTTCGTCTTTGAGCACTCGGACCCCGGGACTGCGTATTCATACGAGGACTGGAAAGCAGGGAGGACCGGCGAAGCAATCGTTGGCCCTGCGGACCAGGAAAATTGGGGTCCAGTTTTTGAAACGGAACAATTCCTTCTCTCTAACCCGTGGCTGGAACCCTACCGATGGGCCTATCAGGCAAAAGGTCAGAAAGATGATGATCATCAGTTCTACGCGGTTGCCTTGCAGGACGAGTTTCGAGAAAAGGGGCTCCAGGTTGTGGTCAAGATCCACAGTATCGAGCTAGAGCCTGATATGCCATCCTTTCCTGGCGAGGACTGGCATACTGAAGGAAATTCAAACGAGCATATAGTTACCAACGCCATCTACGCGTTCGACTTTGAAAATATCTCCGAGCCGCAAATTTCCTTCCGGCAGCGGCTCTCACACGCTGGCCGAAGATACGTCTACGACAAAATGGGCGCCGGCGATGATCCAGATGACGATGAAAGCGATTTCGATGACGAGGAACACGAGGACGATGAGGATGCCCGGATATTTGAGCGAGATCCGGAAGAGAAATATGCGTGCTGGGATCTCAAGTATATAGGAAAGCTTTTTGGATTCGAAACAATTCAGTATGCGCCAGCCTGGCAAGAGCTAGGCAAAGTGAGAATGCCTTCAGGCCGTCTGATTTCTTTCCCAAATGCTTTTCAGCATCGAATGGGTCCGTTAGAGCTTCAGGACAAGGCTAAGCCGGGACATTGTCGTTTCCTTACTCTGTGTCTTGTCGACCCAACCTACCGCATTTGCTCTACGCGAAATGTTCCCCCCCAACAGCCGAATTGGATTGATGGCTCTGGATCGCAGATCCATTTGAAAGAAGCCCTGAAGTTGAAAGAAGAATTGATGAAGGAACGAGCCAAGAAGGATGAAGCTACATTTGAGCTTGCTGGAACCCTTGTATTCTCAGGGGTTTCATAAATGTATAGGTTTAACTTGTCAGAAGCACAACGTACATAGCGAGCGAAAGGAATTACTACAGGCAGGCATTGTGTGGGATTATAAATAAAAGTATACCTGATGACCTCTCAAGATAGAAACGAAGACATACTCAGAGAGTAATTTTAGCAGGTTTCAGATAAGTCTGGTTCCGGATTTGAGCTGCTCAAAAAACGAAAATCGCCTAAAGACACCATTTAGGATACATACCGAGCACGTACCAAAGCACCTAGATTGATAAGACCCCGGAACGATGCCTGAGTAAACCCCCGGATTCCCCGCATCCCCACAAATCCCCCGCCGGCTGTTTTGCGGCAGGAACTCCACCGCCGGGATGATCATCCCATTGCGATAGCTTCGTATGACGCCACAGTTGCAGGTGTAAATAAGCTCACTCCGCTGGAGATTCGCTCACATTAGGTTGCTCGGACATTTCTTCACGCTGTCTACGGCGCCCCGAATGACACGCACCTCACTCCACCGGATCGCTATGTGGCTCCGCTGAGGTATATAAAGCCTTTCACAACCCTTTCTTCAGTTCAATCGAACAACAAAACTTCGCAATCACAAGTCAAGAGAAACTACCATGAAGCCTACCATTCTCGCCTCCCTGCTGTTAGCCGGGACGGCCATTGGCAGCCCCGTCCAACAGAAAAGAGATACCGTCACGGCCCAGGTCAACTTCTCCAATAACACGGGCAAACCGCAGCATCTCGCTTCGGGACTGCTATATGGACTTCCTGATACCCCGAACCAGATCCCTGTATGACTTCTTCTCCTCACCACTACCGCTGCTGACGAAACATAGTCCAAATTCTACACCGACATCGGATACAACTACGAGCGCGCAGGCGGAGCCCAGGTTCCAGCGCCTGGGAGGGGCTGGATCTGGGGACTTGCCGAGTATAAGGTACCACCACTGTCACGAAAAGAAAAACGAAATTCTTCTCTGACAACGACTAGAACCGCTTCGCCTCTGCGCTCTCCAACTACAAGACCGCCCGCCAACACGGCGCGCAATTCATCTTCCTGATCCACGATCTGTGGGGCGCAGACGGAACGCAGAATTCCTCTGCCCCGTACCCCGGCGACAACGGCGACTGGACCAGCTGGGACAGTTACCTGACACATCTCCTCAGCGATATCAAGTCCAACGGCATGGCCGATGGCTTGATCATCGATATCTGGAACGAGCCCGATCTCACCTATTTCTGGAACCGGGACCAAGCACAGTACTTGCAGATGTGGGGACGGACGTACCACAGACTCCGGTATGTCATGCATCCACAAGTCCAGGAAATGCGCATTCGCAACTGACAGCAACGCCTAGTTCTGAGCTCGGCTCCGGCGTACAGCTCTCCGGCCCCGCGTCAGCAGGCGAGCCCCTCGCCAGCAACACCTGGTGGAACAACTGGGCGTCCTTCGTCGCCAGCAACAAGAGCATCCCCGATCAATACGCCTGGCACATGGAAGGCGGCGGCGGCGATCTGCTCTCCGCGCAGGACGGGCTGGTCCACTGGCAAAAGACGTACGGGCTGCCCGGGCGGCCGATCAACATCAACGAGTACGCGGTGTACAACGAGCAGGTCCCCGCCGGCTCGGCGTGGTGGATTGCCCAGCTGGAGCGGATCAATGCGCACGGATTGCGCGGGAACTGGCTGAGCGGGTACATGCTGCATGATTTCCTGGCGAGTCTGCTGGGAAAACCCAATGCGGAGACCGCTTACAGCGCCACTGGCACGGGGTACTATCCCAACGGGGACTACCAGGTGTACAAGTACTATAACCGGAACATGACGGGTCACCGGGTGGGTACGCTTCCGTCGTCGGACCTCAAGCTCGAGGCGTATGCGACTGTCGGGGATGATGGGTATGCGCGGGTGCTGGTTGGTGTGCGGATTACCCAGGGGACGTGGGAGTTGCAGTTGAATGAGTTGTCTGCTTTGGGGTTGCCGACTAGTGGGACGCTGAATGTGCATACCTGGGGATTCCCTGTCGCATCGGATGTGCATTATGGTGAGGTTGATGGGCCGAAGGATCTTGGTTGGTATGGACATGCGTACTCTGGCGATACGGTGACTTTCCCGGTTTATCAGACTGACACCACGACGGCGTATGCGTTTGAGTTTGCTATCTGAGGAACAGTGTTCGTATTGTCATATCAACCAAGAAGGACGTCATAATCTACTCTGAAGCATGGCCATCCTAGTGTCATCTGCTTAGTTTGAAAGAAGGATACAAACTCTGACCCATCATCCTACTCTGTCCTAGAATACTATCCTCTTCGTATTCTATAGATTGATGAAGCCCAAGCCCCCTGTTAGTGTCAGAAAGCTTGGGAATGTATAGGAGTGGATGGTTGGCTTAACATACAACCCTCCAGCGTGGAGAACCATGTCCTTAGCGAAATTGTCCCTCCCGCTGCTAATTACACAGTGACCGGAAGAAAGAAGGCATAACTTCTTTAATGATATATTGGCTGCGGCCGCTTAGAGGAGCTTCATCAATCCGCTCACTGTTGGCTTCTGCTGCCCTCCAGCGTATAGATTGCAGATAGTCACGTAGGAAAAAAACTGGAGCAACAAGAGTATGCTGCTCACCAACGCGGATACTGTGCGCTGGCGATGACTGTCTGGAGCCAAAATATATCTGCTACATCATTCATTCCATGATTTCTTAAATCCTTAGATAGAGACACTTCTTCTGGAGGCAATGCCGGAGTATCGACTAGAAGCTATTGACGCTGACCTCATTAGGAATTGTCAGAGCCAGCATCTAGATCGTCGAAGTTTGCAAGATGCTCTTCCAAATCGCGCGCGAGCTGGAGAGCCTGTACCCTGGCTGATGGGTTCACTACAAGCACCTTCCCTAGCAAGTATTCGAGTAAAGGGCGAAGCACCAACGGAAGCGCGGACTCACTTTGCAGGGTGTCCGCCCAGCGGCAAACTTCAGGGGACAATTCGAATCCTTCGTAGTGGTCACTCCTGCTGGGATCAGCCAATTTGGGACCGTCAGAAGATATCTTTGAATAGAACGGAGTATTCGCTCCTCCCCTAGCCTCACGAAATCTTTGAAGATTTGTCGATCCCATCACAGCCCAAATGAGAAATTCAAGATATATGCATCCCAAGCTCCAAACACTGCTACGTCCTATTGGAAGTTCCCGCATGGTATACTCGTCTGGGGCACGATATGCCTCATCAAAATGCCGAACAGGGTATTTACTTTGACTAATCATCAGAGTTCGTAGATCCAAGCGCAAAGTCCCCGAACCATGTGATCCAAAGGTTGTGTGTTTGAACCGTTGAATGTTGCATGGCGTAATCTGGCGTAGTGATACATAGCGTTCTTCTCTATCATTTTCAACGACAAAGGCAAGAGCCTTGGCAAGGCCAGCCATTTGGGTTAGGGACCACCTCAGAAGTGTTTGAACCCGGCCTGTAACCAAGCTTTGCCGCCAAACGTCATCTAAGCTCGCGCCAGAGAGAGGAAAAATCCCACGGATCGGTTGGGGTGTTCCGCCATGTTCCGGGGGACGATATGATGCGATGGCTTGGAGCAGATGAAATGGACCAACTTTAGAGCCTCCACGAGATATCAAGTATTGGCTACCAGGACCAATCGCAGGCGTGTGCAAGGACCTGAGCGCGACCAGGTAACCATCATCAACGTTTTCCGTGCCACGGTAAGGTGGAGGATAATCATGATGTGCAGGGTAAACAAGAACTAATGTGGATTCGTCGTCGTAACTATAGGTTGTGTTTTTAATAGGCAAGAAGGGCAAGACCCCGTCCTCTGAGTCATAGTGTCCACCTTCATGGAGTAGAGGGACAAGATACTCGCGCTGTCGAAGGCAGAACAACTCGGCCAATTTCTCCAATCTCTTCGTCTCCATTGAGTCGAAGGATTGTGAGGTGCTCGCCTTCCTGGATCCAGGTTGCCGTTGAACGGTGGGGGAGACAGTGGTCTGGGCCAACTTTAGCTTGAATTTCTCGAGAAATTGTACCCTCGAAATGGGGAGATCGCAGTCTTCCGTCCAAGCCTGAAAGGGGGCTCGAATATGTCTAACGATCCCTATATCAATAAGAATCGCAAACCATCGCAAGTGGTGTTTGAGGATAACGTGAGCGAGTGCCCATGTATCATGTTTATCAAACCCAATTTCCTCAAGGACTTTGCGCACAATCTCATATTCGAACAGCTGGCGTAGAACGTGACGAGGAACAAAGTTTTCATGGAGCCCAGTAACTCGCCGTTGCTGCAATTCATGTTGCAGCCAACCGGTAATCCGCAACTAGCTTTCTCGTCAGTGTATCAGCTGGAGAGTTAGTTGACCGAAATTAAACTTACGGCAAGTGACTCATTGTCCAAGATGCACTGCCAACGCCGTTCCATTCTCTTGTCACAATCCCAGACCCCTAGAATATGATACATATAATACTCCTTGGCGTAAATCACAAAGGGATGGCTCTGTACTGGTGATATTCGCTGCGCCATGGCCATCTCGGCCAAGGTTTGGCCTATGTCGCATTTGCGATTCTTTCGTGTCTTGAGAAGTTCCAGGGCGATTCTTTTTGTGTTTGCGGACCCTCCGAAGATGGTGTTCACAATCCGAGCTGGGGCATCTGCGGGAATAGTTGGAAAGACTGTGCGAGATACTTGCCGGTCGAAAATCCCATAGTTGAGGTACGTTAGAATGATCCGGCCCATTTCTTTATTTGCTTCGTCCGGGTTGATGGGATTCGTATTTCCTGGCTCATCGCCCTGGGCAATGAAGAACTGCTTGACACTATGGTGGGCGAACCGAACAGTCTGCTCTTCTTCGTCTATAATGATCAAGCACTTGCAGCTTGCAAGAGCCGCATAAATATTGTTGATTTGTTGTGCAGGCTCCCATGTTGTGTCGCCGGGAATGACGCTGAGAGCCTCGCCTAATTCCTCCACTGACAGAGGTCGTCGGGCAGCCATAACTATCTGTACAATCCTGTGGCGATGCCGCAAATTTGAGGCACCGGCTTGCTGTAGAACTCGTGTGAACGTTTCTGATAGGCTTTGGGGGAGGCTTTCAAGAGCCTGGAGAATTGCTTCATCTGTCTGCTCCATGCAAATGCAGTCGAGTAGAAGGGTGGCCCAGAGAAACCTAGAACATGTCAGACAAGCCGGCCGTTGATTCCAGTGAGTAGGGTGGCCGGGTGGTGTAGGGAGAATACATACATTCCTTGGGCTCCGGTGACGAGGGCATGTTGGATAGAGAGGATGATAGCTGGATTCCCGATGCATAGCTTGCTCGACTCGAGGCGCTCATGTAGCTCTGCATCAATATACGCTTCAATGTCGGGATTGTTCTCTGGTATAGTCAGTGTCCACTTCCCATTGAGGACCCCAGCTGTATGTTTGACATGATCCTCCGTGTCCTTCCTAAAGGAAAGGCATATAAGCATTTTAAAATGCTGTTGTAGTTGGTGGAGAAGCTTTATCGTTGTTTGTTGTTCGCTTTCAGGGCATTCGTAAAGCATCTAGGAGCAGGATGTAAATTGGTGATGTGGGAAGCAACTCGCGCATAATATCGACGATTAGTTGTTCGTCACGATGTGCGAGCGGATCCTCGAAAAACCGGTCGACATTTGTAAGGTCAACAGGATGTTGCCTTAGTAATTGTCGCGCAAGGCATCCGAAGATAGTTCTCGCAGTCAATGACTCGGATACATCATATCGACAGAAAAAGTATGCTACCGAACCATTTGGCGCGAAGCGGATCAAGTCATCAACCATATTCGCTATCAGCGTCGTCTTTCCCGACCCTAACTTGCCTATGCATAACATAGAACACGACGATGTCTACTCCCTCCATCTTTGATACTCAGCCGTGGCTGCAAACCAGGTCGTTGTTCCTTGCTTCCGAGCCTGCTTCCGAGCCTGCTTCCAAGGAGTCTGATAATCATGTGTGGAACAAGCGTCAAGAAGCCGGATCCTACGGGCCAGCTTCTGCTGGTGTTCATTGAAGGTGGAAAATGTGACCATCACCTTCCGGAATCGAGAATTCTCTTTCGCCTCCTCTTCAGCACTTTGAGCTGATAGTAAAGCCACTTCCTCCATGATGAAAACCGACCATTGTTGAAGTTCTTTCTCGAATGTCAATAAAGACGAGTCGGCCATAGAGAACGTCATCTGAGAGATTATGGACTTTTGAACAAACTGGACGGCATGTTGACACAGATTTACAACAACGATGAAATACTCGCAAAGTCCATCCTGTAGTCTCTTCGAGCGCGGATAAAGCAACGCCATATCCTCGTACCGTGGAGCATTTCTTCCGCTTGCATAAACAAGAGCGACACTTTCTCCAAGTAGGAAGCTCCCTGAGATAGCATCTGGCCAAAAGTCAGACACCTTCACATGTTCATTAGCGGGATTACAGACCGTCAATGTCAACCTGACTGCGGCCCAAACACCACAAGCAACCAGGTTCTGCGACCCTCCAATAACTATATCGCCCATCGATGCGTACCGCTGCACTGCTTGCAAGACATTCATGAAGCGGGGGCCAAAACATCGCCTGGTCTTCCGATTCACATTGCGATCAATTTCACCCGTGAGGCGAGCGACATCGGTTGCGTTTGGAGGATGATCCTGAAGGTTTGCAATGGATGTATCAAACGTTGCTTTGCGGTCAGCCGTTAGAACTGCTTTGAACGCGGATACGGCCCGCGCAAGGCGGATCTCGGGCTTGAGTTTCGATACATTCGCCAATGTGTCTGTCATTGTTGAGGCATATTGTCACCCGTGCAAATCTTCATGAGTGAGTCTTGATTGGGAGAAGTTGACCAAATCACAATCGCATCAGTGTCGAGGCAACTGTAAGACACGGGGATCTCAAAGCGCGAAGGAGAAAGTTGAGGGCGACACTCCTTTTATGTGTTGGCGCACGTCGTCGAGGCTGGATAAGGCGGCGAGGCTGAGCTTCTGGTCAATGGAAACATCCCTGTATCCAGAGACCAATCAGGGAATGTCATGACCAGTCTGCATGCAAATGACTGTTCCTGCAAATGTGATGCTTTGAAGTGCACGTTGTACCCAAACCAACCAGGCTAAAGAGCAACCAGACGGCAGATGTAATGGTATACAGAGTAAGCACTTTGACGAAAGGCCGGCACGTGCATTTTTCAATGATCTTTGAGAAACATATTCTCGAAGTATTGATAACAATATGAGTCGAAGTCAGGTTGGTTCAGGCTGTGATGGAGAAGTGAAAGAAGAGTAAGAGTCCAGCTGGGAACACTCTTTCCTTCCATTTTAGGAAGTCACGTGTTGACAGTGTTCGAAAATAATGTCTACACCACTTTTCGTCTTTAGATGTTTCAGTTATTCCACATTTTCATCAACCGATTACTTAGTCCGGACTAATTTTGATGTGAGAATGCAGACACTGTTGTGCGTAATTAATAGGCGACTTTATGTTTGGCATGCCTTTGGGTCTCCCAAAATAATATATACAGCTTATGTACAAAAGAAATATGACCATGTCTAGGCCGAGTCTTCCTCCCCGTAGAATAATTACTTTTCCGTCCCCATATATACATTACATTCATCAGAATCCCCAATGGCTGGTCACACCCTCTGGCCCACTTCAACGCACGCAGCCTCGGGCTCTTTAGTCGTGGACGGAAACGACCCCTTGGAGGACCCCATACGCGAACAATCCGCAAGATCCTCACCATCGAGGAACCCGTCCCCATCACGAATGATACTCGTCTGACTCTCCCGATGTGCCCTCGTCTGCTCCACATGAGACCGATTGTTCGTCCTGCGCGACATCTCCAGCGCATCGGATGGATCTGTCGGCGCCGAGTTCGAATGCGACATGAGCGACATGTGGACCAGTTTACCCAGGATGGCGTACTCCAGCTTCAGCTTGACGCTGTAGACCATCGCTTTGAAAGAGACGTGGATGCGGAAGAGCCCTGCGTACTGGAAGCTCACGATGGCGGCGTCCATGAGGATGAAGAGGACGTTGACAACCACCAGCTGGACCAGCGTGGAGCGGTACTGCCGCCGAGGACGGAGCTTGAGGAGCCGAATGGCGGCCTTGGTGTACACTATTGAGAGGATGATTTCCTGGAGGGAGAACCCGACGAGTTGGACGCGCTCGAAGATTTCAAACGGCTGGGTGAAGCGCGAGGCCTGATTGGAGTTGGCGCCGAACTCGAGAATCCAGCCTGTGGTATGGAGGATGACCGCGTCGACGATGATCATTGCCAGGGTGCCGCGCAGGACCTTGCGGGAGTAGACGACGAGATGTAACCGGGACCAGAGGACGAGGGACTGTCCGGTGACCATAGCGCACCATCCCACCTCCTCGACGGCCACGGCGAAGTAGCCAGGGTAGATATTGAAGATTATGAGGAGATAGCCGAAGCCGAAGGGAAGGATGCTGATGGAGGAGACAAGGAGGGCCCAGAAGTAGAAGCCGCCATACTTCTTGAAGGTGGTGAAGCAGAGGACGATAAGTTCGATGGCATTGTACCAGGCGATGGCGATGAAGCAGGCGATTATGAATTGTTCGGCTAGATTGGCAGTTGAATATGCGCGAGGGGCATCGGTGCTCCGGATGATGGACATTGGGACATGATTCCCCCGGCTGGTAGAGGAGGAGGCTGCTGGTGCATGAATAATGGAGAGGGATGCTTTGACAAGGATTCACTGAAATATAAGGCAATTGATCTGCCTCCTAGCTTGGGTGTCTCATGAAAAGGAGAGATTTTTCATCGTGTCAGTAGCAGATAAGGCAGACAATAGCAGAGAGACTTTGCACTAGCCAGGATTGATGCAAGAAAGTTGGAGCTATCGAGCTGGCAGATAACGCCTTCGATAATGGGATTCGCTAATATCATTAATATCGTTCGCGGCTGAACAATTCCAGAAGCTTTATCTAGCCTCGGGGCCGTTACCATATTATTTATTCGGCCATATCGTCTGATCACCGGCGCTCTCCGATTTAATTGACTTTAGCGGTCCCTGGATCGATCTTGAGTAGCTTTCTACGGAGCATGGTCGCGTGCTCGTGGAGACCACAATCGCTCCATCCAAAGGCCGCAAAGTACGACAGGTAATCAGACATGCAAAGGACATGGCCTGAACCCTTGATCCGATCTCGGGGCCTGACTCGATCCTCGACCCACTACAGGAGTATGGTTTCACAATGAGATGAGATGATTCGGTGATGATATGCAAGTTTGATAGAAGCAGCTTCCACATTGATCTCGATCCATGTCCATCTGTCGGTCACCTGTTAGAAATCTACAGAAACTTTGTCTCGACAAAGTATGTCTCCTCATTGCCAGTACGAAGAAACCAACATAGATTCGACAATCGCACGCTACCAACCTCCGACCAGTCAGCCTCAAAACGCCCAGATGTAACCATGGCTTGAAGCCAGAGAGGCCTTGGTTAATTATAGCCACTCCGCCTCCCAGCAACTAACAGATGAGGGCAATGATATGATTGGCTGCATGAGCCCAGACGCTCTTAATCCCCGACGCTTCTCCGGTGAGCTTGTTAGAAGGTTAAACTTTATCAACTGCCAGCCAATCATCTTGAATATCCCACAGCCACACGCTGCACCGTCCAACGGGAGAAAGTTCGCGAATCCACTCTAATCGTATTGACAGCCAATCAGGGCAAGCGACACATCAGCCTGCTCCACTAGATACGGACAGAAAATCTCTCATGTTGACAGCCAGCGGCCAGCATGTGATAGGATTGTACCTGAGGCAGATTGGCATCTATAGCCGATATTATGTCTCTCCTCAAGGATGGTCTAGACGCTCTAGCTGCCATAAACTTATCCCAGACTCTAGGCTAGAGCCACTGCTCTGAATGAACAGAATTATTGACTCGCAGAGACGTTGCATAGCGTGGACGCGACACCAGGAAGTCGGCCCCCTTGCCTTCAGATCGAAATCTTGTTGAGCTTTCAGGACGGCCTGTCTGGAGTTTGGGAGCTGGGTCCGGTGTCTCATCTGAATCATGAAACAGGATATAGGTCTGACTGATTCGCAGAATGAGAGAGAAGACTTAGCTGTCAGCCTGTGATCGACTTCATTCTAGTATCTTTGACATGCTAGTGTAAATATGAAGGACTCTAGTATATCAACAATACCCCATAATGCTTGTTTGCTATACGATTGATGAAGTTTTATGGAACGCAGGTGCTGACGGAATCATTCATGATCAAGTAATGGTTGTACCAATTGTTTTTGCATAGTGGAGTCTTCCCCAGATATTGCGAAGGAGCTGGTCCAAGGACCACTCAATCTTGATTCGATCGAGACAGGATCCGGTGCACAGATAGGCGATTGGACAGTTGGACTGTCAAGGTAATGGAGTAGTAAGGCACAGTTGCCTATGAGACAAGTAAGTGGACGAATAAGTTAAGCCAGAACCTCCGTGTGATTTGTAGTCAAAACTGTGGCTCTGTCTATCTCAATTCGTGCACTCCAATACATTTAATCAAGGGGAATATCCTATCCGTCTCTGAGAAGTATTGGGAGAAAACTTGATATACTTCACCTTTCATATTGCACTCCTCATGGAGGCACTACGCTCCGTTTCGGCGATTCCATGTATCGACAACAACACATTCGAGAACCAGATAATAATTAGCAGACCACACACAGCAAAACCTGTCGGATCCTTCCGGATAGGATGACCTTGTGATATCAAAACCGAACCCGATTGAAGGATAATGTGTAGAGACCCATTGCTCGCTCAACGTCCGCAATTTCTCCAACTCAACAGCTCACCATAACCACGAGGGGTATCTGCTGTTCATGAACAGAAAGCAAAAAGACGATACTCCTTAGCAAATACATCGGATCATCCCGGAATTGAGAAAGCAAATCCAAGCCATTTGATAATATTATTGATAATAGAATCAATGCCAGCCGTCCAACCACTTTTTGTACGTAAAAATAAGGTCGCCCGCCCCACGGGGAAGATCGCCCATCCGCTGGGGAGAAGAATAAGCTCACCTCCACAGATCGGATCACACCCATTGCCCTGCTCACCTGATCTTTTGGTGACTTATTTGAGAGTGGATATTACTCCAAGAAGTAGCTCTCATTACCCAATAGATTTTATGTAAGAGGTTTCTCGCAGTTGAATTCCAACCCGGCAGACGGGTATATGAACATGGCATGTCTCTACGACTATCACCACAGCACATCCATTCACGTCGAGACCAATGACACGAACAATCCACATCGCCGTCCTCGACGTCGACATCCCCCCTCGCACCCTCTACGAAACGCGCGGCCTCTGCAGCGCGCATTTCCGCAATGCCTTGCAGCACGCAGCCACCCGCCTCAACGCCCTCTCGCCAGGAAGCGAGATCAGCATCGCAGTGACACCGTACGACATCCGCGGAGGACACTACCCGGACTTCAGACACCTGCGCCAGACTCAGACGCCACTCTCCGAGCACAGCATCGAAGCGATCCTGATTACCGGGGGCGCACCGGGCGTCTACGAGATCGACGAGACGCCCTGGATGCGGACACTGGCCAAGTTCCTGCAGACTGTCTTTCGGGAGTACCCGGCCGTGAGGATCATGGGGACCTGTTTCGGGCACCAGTTGATCGGGCATGCGTTGGTCGACTCCGGGGCGGGGGATGTGTATGTTGAGAAATGTCCGCTGGGGAGGGAGGTGGGGATCCATTCCGTCCAGCTGAACAGGGAATTTGTCGAGGCGTTTCCGCTTGCCTTGGGCGGGTTACCGGATGGAAGATTAAGGATCCAGATGTTCCACGGCGATCGGGTTATGGTGAAAGGTGCGAATGAGGGCGTGTTGCCGGAGACAGCGGCGGTATCGCTGCCCGCGCCGTGGGTGAATATCGGGAGCACGCCTATCTGTCCTATCCAGGGCATGTATTACCCTGGCCGGGTACTCTCCGTGCAGGGGCACTATGAGCTAGACGCGTTCGGGATGCAGAAGATGTGTCTTGAGTTTGCACCGTTGCTGGGCTGGACGGACTCGAAGCTGGGGCTGTTTTTGGAGCAGGTGGGATTCGATTACGATGGGAGACAGGACGATTCAGGAGCGTTTGCGTTGGCTGTCGCTTGCTTTTTGGCTGGGGAATAAAAGTTATTGGTTTTAAACTAACTAGACAAAATTAGACGGCGCCGGTCTGCAAAGTCTTCTTTTTCACTCCCATCAGCGCCTTCAGGTCCATCCATAGTCCTCTAGAAATGTCTTTTAGCGCACCGGCACTCTCAACGACGGGATATACCACGCAGATGATAACACTGGCCCAGATCCAGATCAGCGCCACGACTACCCAGCCGGTAAAGAACTGTCTGCTGTACACGTAGCCAGTTCCGAAGAGAGTGAAAGGCACGAGGATCACAGCGATGAGGATAAAGACTACATTCGCCCCCTGCGCCAGCCGTTCCGCCTTGCGAACCAGAACTGGATCCATAGGCTCGATCTGATTGTCTTGAAGGAACTCGACAATCTCATTCTTTGCCGGCGCCGGGGTCTCTTTCTCATTACCGTCAGCTTTCAATGGCTGCACTGTGTCCTGCGACCTTGGAACCACCCCCTCAATTGCCGGCGCAACCTGAGCATCCACACACGGATATTTCTTTGGAAGCAGATAGCTCAATACCACAGCCGAGACGACACCAACCCCAAAGGAAGCAAGATTCCCCGCCACGGCGTTCGTCCCATCCCCCGTCGTCTCGACGTTAATCGCCCCAGACCGTCTCATCGAGGTAACGAACCAGACCACTATCCCACAAACAAAACCGAGCCACGGCGCCACGATAGCAGCAACTGTCGACATCCGCCCCCAGAGCAGAATAAGGCCAACGGGCACCGCCGCCCCGCCGACAATGACGCCCAGCACGGTGAGTACCCAGGTGAGACTCAAACCTACCGCGTTGAGGATGCTGCAGAAGGCGGAGAGGACGAGCGCGTACAGCGCAATGGCCCAGTGACTAACCCGCACCAGAGTGGCCGAGTCCGTGTGCGGGCGGAAATACGTCTTGTAGACGTCGAAGGTCAGAAGGGACGATACGGCGATGAGTTCGGCGGAGGTGGAGCTCGTGACGGCCATGAAGAGGAGGATGAGCATGAGGACCGCGCCCCCCTTGCCGAGGAGGGTTATGGCTGTGGCCGGGGCAGAGAGGCCGGCTGCTACCTGTGCGGATGACAGTGGATGGGGGTATGTAGGGAAGGCCGGATTGTTGGTCAGGGCTGCGCACCCGAGACCCATGGCTGTTGCAAAGCCAAATGGGATGCCTGCGCATGTTAGACACGAACAGTATCACCATGGCAGGGAGCTGACCTACCATACCACGCAATCCCACCCAGGAGATACGCCTTGACAGAAGTTTCCGGCCTCGAGGCAATCGCCCGCTGCCAATACGCCTGATCCAGCCACACAGTCGTGAACCCAGACACAAACAAATCAATCGCAAAGACCAGCCCGCCCACAGACCGGAAAGCCAGGTACGACCCGTCGGTGTTCCGCGCGATAGGCATCTCCCTCGACGCCTCCTGCAGCAAGTCATACAACCTCCCCGGACTCCCGATCAAATCGCTACTCGCCGCAACCAGGAAGCCAAATACCAGAATCGCGACAAACAGGATCACGGTATGCGTGTAATCCGCAATGAACGTCGACCGCAGCCCACCAGCAATCACATACGCGGCCACAACAGCCGGAATCAGAAACGTCGCCGCGTAGACGTTCATGCCCGTCAGCGCGGCGACGACCTGCGCCCCGCCGAGGACCAGACACGCGCCGACGAGCATGTTCGTCGCGAGTCCGTTGTACAGGTACGTCAGATGCGCAACTGTCCCGTGCCGAGCGCGCACAATCTCCGGCATGGTGTGGGCACCGGGCGCATGGGCCTTGATCTTGATGGCGATGAGGCCGAAGAGCAGGATTTGCAGGGTCCCCATGGCGGCGTACCACATCGGGCCGCAGACGCCGTAGCTGTAGGCGAAGGTGGAACTTGTCAGGAGGGTAGCGGACCAGGTCCAGGAGGAGACAATGCCGGCGGAGATCAACCCGGGCTTGATTGATCGAGAGGCTGTGTTGAACTCTTCGGCTTGGTGGGTGGAGAAGTGTGTGTAGCGGTTCTGGAGCCAGGTGAGGCCCAGCATGAAGAGGGCGAAGATGCCCCCGATGCCGATGACGATGCCATAGCCGGCGCTGGGGGGGAGAACCTGTAGTTCATGAGATTGCGCCATGTTGTGATGTCGGGAAATGAGGATGTCTCTGAGTTTCTATATACAGTGGTATAGAGCAGGTGATATAGATGACCCCGCATATGCTTATCATTTGGAGCATATCAGTAAGGTGATAAGAGGTTGAATGGCCACAGAAAGCCCCGTCACTTATCTCAAAGGCATTGCAGAGTTCAGATAGCAGTTGGAGTAACTGTAATCAAGCCAGTTATCTCTCTAGGTGAGAGTTGGGGTCGGCATTTGGGTAATGGACATGTTGTTATCACATCGTTTCATCCTATTATGATCACTTCATACCTGCCTACTCCAACTCATGAATCTAGGAACTCACTATCTTTGCTATCCCAGTCTCGCTCCAATTCAGAAGTGTTCATATCATGTTGATCTACCACCTGGACAAACTCTGAAATCGGAGGGACGAGAAGCTAGTTCAAAGGAGTGTATGGCAAAAGTCGAGGAAGCCCACTGGCGTCTACTCGCGACGAAACAGTTCCATGTCAAGAATATCCGAAGAATGCAGATGAATCCGGTATTGGATTATTCTAACAATAGGGCTCTGTCAATTACCCGTTTCTCTTGTCTCTCCTCTCCCCTCTCCCTTTCGCTCCTCCATCGTGCCTCCAAAACGACTCCAATACCCTGGCCTGTCCCATATCGCGTCCATGTTGAACCCTCCCCATCCAGCTTATCGAAATTCCGCCTATTAAATAAAGCTAATCAGCTCTGCTGACGGACTGGCCATGCATCTTGATGTATAGCCAAGCCTCGTAGGAAGGGTTATGAGTGAATATGGAGGCTTGATGTTAATCTCTATACGTTTATTGTCAAGAGAATGCAAGCGCAATGACAGCAGACAGCGCTAAATATCTACCTTGCAGTATCGCTGATTTTCATGATCATACCGAGTCATATACTCCAATAGACACAGACTTACAGGATCCCATTCCAATTCCCCTATCGCCTATCCTCATCGAACTCCGCTACACTCATTCGATCCCTCCGTCGATCCTCCAAGTACATAGTATACACATACAAGGCCGTAATCGACACAGGCTTCACCATATACCCCCAACATCCTACTCAGACCGTCACTCATGCCACCATGGAAAGAGTGCTACTCACGCGATATAAGCACTATGAGACCCCGGCGCCTGGCTCTCCTGGAAGGTCTGCGGCCCATTGATATCCATTAGTGTAGTAATACGCCTCCAGTCGCAGCGGCTGCTCCTGTGCGGTATACCACATGCTCATGAGCAGAACAAAACCAGGGTTCACGACGGCCTCGACAAGGCCCAGAAGGGAGCGGTTGGCAATGGCGTCTTAGTGGGATAGTTCTCGCCATTGACGACACATCAAGGCAGGTGAACGAATTATATATATATTACAGATATATCCACTTCGAATCTGCAAAAAACATCTCGATCAATCCTTAAACTCACACAGGACAAGCATCCTTCAGAAAAAAAGTGGAAGAGAATTACCCCATAGCTGATATGTGGGGGTGGGGATGCAGCTGATCGGCTCACATGTGGAGGGAGAGTAGAACAAACTCCATGAACAGCACCTGGAACTAAGCTTGTAGCTTGGCCTGACGAATCCCGGTCAATTTTGATATCGCCCCGCATCCTGACGCATATTTTCTGGGATCAGCTGTGGCACAAAACTGGGGAGGCCCACTCTATGTAGCGACCCAATCTGCCGATAGAGACATGGGCTAACGCTTATCCCCCAGGTTCATGTACAGACTATAAAGCTTCGACCTGCTGAGAATGCATAAATATCTCTCAGCAGCTGTTCAAAGGCGATATTGGAAAGGTTCATTTCTCCGGAAGACCGGAACCTTTTCATGTGTAATGAAATATTTGATAGCGAATATACATCGCCGTCTGAGCTAGCATAGGCTTCGTCTCGATCCTTGGGTTGGAGGACTTGCCGCACCGGTGGACATATTTCTCTTTCATCATAGATCCCCCATTCCGCCCATTGACCCTCCCTCCTTCTTACCGATCCAATTGAAGCCAATGAGGAAGTGCCCAAATAACCTTAACAGAGTCTGAACATTAAACCTGCAAAACCTCTATAAGGACAAAGGCGTCTGGCTGTCTTCAGACCCATACTTGTCGTCGATGCCTGGTGACACTCAAACACACTAAGACAGAGTCAGTATACGTGGTGACAAAGTGGGCCTGAGTAGATATAGAAATTCCTTTGTACTACAAAATTGTGAATCAAGAGTCCACAGCAGCATAACTGTAACTACATTATTTTGAGTACGATTTTCTTCATCCTACAAGTGTTGGAGAGAAGATCCAGTGTTAAGTTCATTGTTTCAGTATAGTACATGGTAGCATTGCCAGAGTCCGTCATTATCATCACTCAAGGTCGTCACTCATAGCGTATGATTTATTCCTCGGGGTAATCGGTACCACCGGAGGAACGGCCACCCTTGCGACCAGCCTCACGGGCACGCTCATCACCAGGCTGGAAGCTACCGCCGGAGGCCTGGCCACCCTTGGAAGCGATGTCTCTCTATAAGGAGTTAGAAGATACGATATAACGATTGCCATGCAGGACGTGACATACCTGCTTCTGGGGGTCCATGCTGGCAAAACCACCCTGGTGGCTAGACTGGCCTCCCTTGCGAGCAATGTTCTCGACCTCCTCGTGGGGGCGGTTGGCGAAGTTGCCGGGGTTCTGGTTGGTGGCAGGCATTTTGGTGGAAGATTGAAGTGGTAGATGATTGTCTTGTGGGAGATTGTTTAAGAGGTATGACTGGAACGGATCAGGGCGAGGGAAATGCAGGTATTTATGCTTGAGAAAGGGGCCTGACTACATGATGATGTATCTGCCAGGTCTCTTGCTGATGCAGTTTGTATTCCCTGCAGGAAACGTTGATTGACCTGTTGTATCCACTCTGATGCACTTGGGCTGCCTGCTTTCAGGTCAGTCGACATCATCAGTGGGGCCAATTTGTTGAATGTCAGATTGCAGCGATTACTCTTGCCGCAATGAGAGTGAATTGCTGAGATGCTTAATTCTCTCAGGATGCCGGTGTCCTTGCAGTTTACCTAAGAGGCTGAGGCATCGCTGATGGAAGATGATAGATCCGCAGGCCTAGGCCCACAGATCCTGGAACGACAAAGCTAATTGACTCTGGGGTACGTATTAGGGCCAATTGACTTGTTTCTTAACCAGACATTGCATGTTTCAGAGATGTAAACCTCATTATGACATTATCCAACCATTTGTGCTGGGGTTGATATTCTGACGCCATAGAATTGGTCAACACAAGCAGACCTGCTCACTAGAAGAAGATTCCCAGGTGGTTGCATATCATCACCAAGTTCATTCATCATTATTACCTCAATCAGCCCTCCTCGATGAGTCCAGCCATTGAGATGCCACTAGTCTTAAAAGGGTAACATTGCATATACTTTGCAATGTGAGACCCACTTGGGCTCCTCATTGTGCTCTGTATGAGGACATTTTGATATTTGGACATTTAGTACCTCAGCTAGTGAACTTTTCCATCATTAAGTTGAATTAGATTCTTTTCTTCTAGTTTCAGTGATTTCATTTGCCAACATACTCTTTCAGGTTCCTGTTCATCAAGTCGGGTATACTTGGCATACAAGAGTACAACCTGGACAAGTAGACCACGTGACAATCCAATCCGGACTAGCGCGATCGGTGAGGTCAGCGCTTTCCCTTTCCCTTTGCCTTTGATCGATCCTCGATTCTCTAATCAAGTTGCCTAGCTATGATATAATTGGATTCATTGTCAGACAAGTTGTCCTGACTATGATTACAGCTGTCCTAGCCAGCAGTTCAACAAACCCAGTGCAGTTGTCATAGGACCTGAATGTAGGAAATATATTCAGCATCATGATCATTCATATTAGTCAACTACTGTTGTACATTTGGGGGAGCTAGATACCTCAAGACCTACATCCACGTACAAGATATTATGCAAGAATAAGCTTGTTCCAAAGAACTGATCGATCGCCTAGGCCCTTGATCTGAGAGTTGTTCTATGAATAGTCATTCTGGCCCGGCAAGCTAAATTAGATGTTAGGAGCCATGGGTTCACATATCATCATAACGTCAGCTCCTATATGAATGCTCTCTAGTTCTCAGTGGTATCTACAACTATGCAAATAGTGACACCATCACTAGAATACAACAACTCTGCGAGTCCATCACTTGTCATGCATTGCAGTTATGGACGTCAATGGTCAACACTTGCCTGTGAGATTGATTTGAGCTTGTATTCTTAGTTAGATACAAATTAGGATAAAAGGATCCTAGAAGAACCGGTCCTTAAGATATCACGAAAAGTGGTCAAACCAGAGGTCGATGGCGATATTGCAGCACTAATGTCGATACATTCTTCCTTTGCCAACAAGCGACAAAGGACAATATTTCCGCTCCTGTTTACCTTTGAGGTATTCTCCCCTAGCATTGATGGCGCCCTGTCCTAAGCTTCTCCTACATCTCTATGCACTTCCATAACCCAACCAGTAGTTTGCATAAATGTCTGCCCTGATGATCTTCCCTTCTAAACGGACTAGATGCATAGCACATTAACTCTGTGCCTCGATAAACCCAGTCCGTATACTAACGAGAGGCTAGAACTAGATGCATGACTAGCGGGTTTTCATGGTTGCCTAGTGGACATAGCATCTTCCTAGTCATGAATTACTCCGGACAGGGGAATCAGCCCTAGCGCCGGAGACTTTTCGCATCACGGAGTAAAGCTATAGTAATCCTACGAGATATCATTGTCCCGAACATCTCGGATACATTTCTTCACCTCATGAACGCGCTGACTTGTCTTGAGAAATTTGTAATGAGCTGCAGGAAATGTGGCCGACTACGGACATATTCAGATCAAGTACGTGGGTAGCAACTATATAAATCGTAACCATAATGGGATACTACCACGACAACATTGCATATCATACACCGCAAGCAAACTTACATTTTCTGCAAACTCACAAACAGTTTGCTAATATCGTTGATCACCATCTCTCAAATGTCTTCTCAAATTCTGCGACCACCGATCAATTCGGACCTCGCCGACGTGACACCCCCCTTGCTGGACGTCAGCACTCCAGAAAAACTGAAATCCTACCGCCAATCCCTCGAATCACTGTTTACAGCGGATAAAACCATCCAAGGAAAAGAGGACGCAATCTCCTACCAAGAACTCGACATCCCAGGCCCGGCAGGACCGATGCGAGCCACCATCTTCCGTCCCAAGCACCAAACCCGCCCCGTCGAAGAAACCCCCGGCGTCCTACACATACACGGCGGGGGCCTCGCAACAGGAAACCGCTTCCTAGGCTTCACCATGCTCGACTGGATCGAGTCCCTCGGCGCAGTCTGCCTGACGGCCGAGTACCGTCTCGCCCCGGAGCATCACCAGCCAGCCCAGCTGGAAGACAGCTACGCCGCGCTGCAGTGGATGAGCAACCACGCCACCGAGCTAGGCTTCAACCCACACAAGCTGGTTGTCTGCGGTGGCTCGGCGGGGGGGAATCTCGCGGCAGGCGTCGCCTTGCTCGCGCGCGACCGCTCGGGCCCGGAAATCCGCGGCCAGGTGCTGATGTATCCGTGGGTTGACGATGGGATGGAGTACCTGTCCGTGCGGCAGTTTGGCGATATTGCGCCTGTGAGGGAGTCGGATGTTGTGGTGGTTACTAGTTATGCGTTCGGCGCGGGGCGTGAGTATGCCGATATGTATACTGCGCCAATGCGCGCGGAGAGTCTTGCGGGCTTGCCGCCGGCGTTTATTGATGTGGGTGAGGCGGATGTGTTTCGGGATCAGGATCTCGAGTATGCGGCGGCCTTGTGGAGGGATGGGGTGTCGACAGAGCTGCATGTGTGGCCGGGTAGTTGGCATGGGTTTGATGTCTTTGTGCCGGATGCTCCCATTAGTCGGCGGGCGAGGGCTGCGCGGTTGGAATGGCTTCGGAAGTTGCTGAGTAGCCCTGATGGTATCTAGAAGGCATGCATCAACAGGTACCCAAAATAAACCTTAATGCATATACACTCGTATGGATCAGGGTTGGATGCCTAACAGTAACTCCATACGGTGAGAGTTGTGCTTGTACGATTGCTGCACCACATCTTCAGATATTCTATCATGCAACATAATCGCTGGACGTCGCCCTTCTGCTGATTCTCGGATATGTACCCCACTGCGGGGTTCGTCATTTACATACCAGACCACCGAGCCTGCAGCCTGAAGCCTGCTGGCTTCCTCTGATATCCGGACGATTCCCTATTTTACAAGGAGGATCTCGTCCCAGCCTTAGCAGAGAAAAGCAAGGGAAAAGCACTATCGACCTGCTAGTCTTTGCTCAAAGACCGATATGGATCCTCAGTATTTCCAAACCTGCCTTGGCATTCCGGTTCCTCAGTCCGTGAGGGAGCTGGTCAAGTCGCCCCCATTTTGCTTCCCGAGCCGGGGAGATCAAGAAGCTATTGAGATCCTTGAAAATTTCGGTAGAAGCCTTCGCCGCGAGAGGGATGAAATCAACCAGGCATGTAGCCTTGCGACTGGCTTTTCGGACATGGTTATCATTCTAGAACGTCCGCGTGACAGGAAACGACACCGTTTCAACGTGCCATTCGACCAGTTTGTGCAAGAGTGCGAGACTCTGAAAGCTGTGGACGAGCTTATTCGCTTTGCTTCTAACGGCGCTCGAAGCATATATACTGTCACAGTACTGAACGCGTTCTCCTATCAGCCTGACAAAAACAGAAAGGAGCAAGATGGGAGATGTCATGAAGTCCTTGCTCGGATACTAAGAACAAAGAAACCCAGAGTGGTGATACGATGCCATCGTGACGAGTATAAGGTCGAATGGTTGAAGTGTATTGAGCTCCTGGGTGAAGAGTATTGACTGGCACAGAGGAATATTAAACTTACTGAGGAGCACATGATAGTTGTCTTGCATCTTTCTATCCATCTTGTGTAGTGAACAACGCGGACTGCAGACCGGAATACAGAGCTCTGTTGATAACTCATTTCGTGGCCGCCTTTTCAGAGTTAGGATCCGCGTCGAATCTCCCAGAATCAGCCGAAGAGATTAGAGAACTTTGTCGCGAGGACGGAGAACGAAAGATCTCTTGACCATTGGGATGCGGCATATTTTATATCAGAGGCACTTAAAGAGCGATATAAAGGCCGAGGTCGACTTTGTGCGTATACCTGCGGATTTGTAGATGAAACACCGGCGGAGTTACGCACGAGACAAATCAAGGCCCTCAACGATATGTACAGTTCGCTTAACCGGCTCTTCGGGCATTCGCAAGACTCTGATACCCTTGGAATTGCAAAAATTGTGCTTTTCTTCTGGAAACAACATTTTCAAGAGAATCCCCTCTACCAACAGACTATGTCATGGGTGATCTTACGCGGTAATGAACAGAGAGATTGGTTTTCACATCCGGCTCAGAGCTCTTCGAATCATCTCACGTTGGAAGCGCAATTTTCAGGTCTAGTAATAACAGGACTGAGCATAGACCACGAATATAAGGAGATTAATAAGACGGCAACCTCCCATGCTCGCATTATTTTTTCAACCCTCGAGCAAGCGAAGAGTGTCGAAGCAAGTCGTCTCGAGGAAGCAATTGCTGTCTTTAAGGAACATAATTCTCTCATCGACGCTCACATCGCAATGTTTCCATTAGCAACATCAGTTCTGCAATGAAAATCAAATCTCTCGTGGTTTGTTGCGAAATCTTCGAATCTACAATCAGGGCTCAGTGGCAGGACCTGGAGCGGGAAGATTTCCGCAATCTGTTTACCAGCCTTAGGCAGTTGGCACAGCTTCTTGACGCCAAAGACGTCTAATACGTGTTCCTATATCACGATCAAGAAAAGATTTCTCCCTCTGTCTTCTCGAAAACAACTCTGGCCGCCGTTGGTGTTGTCGTCGGTGGTGGTCCTAGATATGTGCGACTCCTGTGGCAGCATGGAAGACTAAAGTCCTAATGAAGGCTATGAAGAATTCTGTCAAAACGGGAAGGATGTATTTTCTGACAGTTGCTCTGTAGTAGGAAATGAATACTGCTGCTTGGTTTTGATATTTCCATGAGACAAGCCATCTGGAGATATCTCATTTGCGAAGCGACAGACGGGAATAGTGGTGAATTGTCTAATTGAATGTATAGGAAACTAGGAAAACTTTCGAATTGATTCAGAACATCTCAATAACGCAAACAGATATGATTCCTGCCCTCGAAGGATCCTCGCTATTCGTTCATAAAAGCCTCCAGAATTCATCAAGATTAGAATCTGCGGGCAGATCATGGATCAGGTCCTCTAATAATCTCGGTTCTTTCTCTCTTCTCCGTGTCACAATATTGAGAGTTGACTCTAAATACCCAAACCATTCTATGTGCAGGAGGTTGGTTGATGGACATCAACGCGGTGACGCGGCCGACTACGCATCCACCCATGATGAACGACGGACGATGCCGCGCAATCATTTGCAGAAGTTTGGATTTATGTAGCTCCACAGTGGCTGAAGAAGACGTATGTGGATCTAAGCTAACTAATTATAGTCAAAAATTTCAGCCACTTTCCGCCAGAGCTGATAAAGATTATGCCGAAAAGCTTGGCTTGGTAGACTTGTTGAGTGGATCGCACAAGTTTCTACTTGACAGAGCTGGACAAACATCTGCTGGAAAGTCGATGCTCAATCGCATATGGAGTACCTATTTTCTATTGGACAATGCCTTCATTGTCAAGCTGTGTCTATCATTATTGTGGGTCTGAGCTAGGTCCATATTCAAGCAGTTCATGGACCTCGGACTCGGAGTGAGGGTTAATGCTGTATTTATTTATAGGATCTCGACAGCGCAATCCGACAAAGGAAGGATGAGTTCTATTTCAAGAACTCGTTCATTTATGTCTCAGTCTTGTGGTGGCCAAATTCCTTGTCTTGGTCTTGCTGGGCACAACCAAACCTGGCCACTCTACTCAGTATAGAGTACCAGATAGTGGCCTTCTTGTGGATATTTCAAGTTCAATTGAATATGATTATAATCTCCCGTCAACTCTTCTGCCTGGAAGCGGCCCGAATCCGATTTCATAGCGAAGAAGCTTATTCGATCCCATAGCCCCGCCCCGTCGATGGAGCCCGCTCCACCATGCCACGCGTCTCAACCAGTAACCTTTCAAAGCGCTGTCCTTCGGTACTTCTACAAAGCAGTGAGAAGACGACTTGGAGAAATTGAGCATTTTTACGTCCGAACAAGAGTGCGTGTCATGCCAGACGAACGATGGCCCGTTCCTCCTCGGGGTTAACGCTGGATTCGTCATGTGGCTGGGCGCTTGCCATACATCAATGGCTGCTCCCTCGGTCTTCTAGTATAAACCAGACATTCCTTGGCTATACTCATTCTTAATTGCTACACTCGTTTGATCTTCACTTTTGTTGTCAATAGCCATACAGTCAACATGATGCTGCCATTGCTGGCCATTTCGGCCTTTGTCTCCCTCGGTGCCGCGCAGACCTATACCAGCTGCAATCCTACCAACAGTAAGCCAGATTTATAGTCAAAAGCGGGCTGGAACTAACAGGAGTAGCAACTTGTGACCCCGACACCGGTCTGAAGAAATGGAGCCTGTCCACCGATTTCACCCAGGGCAGCTCCGATGAATGGACAGCTATCGCAGGCAACGTCACCTATGGTAGCAACGGGGCAGAATTCACCATCAACAAGCGGTACGATGCGCCTACACTCGAGACCAACTTTTACCTCTTCTTCGGCGAGGTCGAGGTCGTCATGAGAGCAGCGAATGGCACTGGTATCGTCAGCTCGATCGTCATGGAGTCAGACGATCTGGACGAGATTGACTGGGTGAGTACCCGCTTCCTCTACAATATCAGAACGATGCTAACTGGCGACCAGGAATGCACTGGAACCGACACCACCCAGGTCGAAACCAACTATTTCGGCAAAGGCAACACGACCACCTACGACCGCGCCATCTGGGAGACCGTCAGCACGCCCCAGGACGAATTCCACACGTACAAAGTCGTCTGGACCGCCGCCTCCATCACCTGGTACATTGACGGGACATCTGTACGCACACTCGACTATGCCGATGCCGTCGACGGGACCAACTACCCTCAAACACCCATGGTCGTGAAGCTGGGTATCTGGGCCGGAGGCGATTCATCCAACAGCGAGGGAACGATCGAGTGGGCTGGTGGCGAGACGGATTACGACGATGTCCCTTTCACCATGTACGTCAAGTCGGTCAACATCATCAACTACAACCCCGCCGCCTCGTACAACTACACCGACATGACCGGCTCGTACACCAGTATCGTGGCCTCGAACTCGACTACCGGCAGTGGCATCCACAGCTCGAACTCGGTCAGTGCGTCCGCTTCTTCGTCCTCCACCTCGTCTTCCTCGTCCTCTACCTCCACCTCCACCTCTACCTCCTCTAGACCGTTGATTGCTGCGGCGAGTACTTACCCGGCCTCTGTGCAGACCTCGAGCAGTGGTGTGATTAGCTCGTCCTCTTCGTCTGCTTCTTCCTCTTCGGCTTCTAGTGCATCCGGCTCAGCTAGTGCTTCAGCCTTGTACACCGGTGCTGCCGTAGCCAACCTGCCATCGTTCTTCTTTGCTTGTTTCTTTGCACTGGCTATTGCACTTGCTTTCTAGAACCACCCACCTGTACTAGACTCGCTCGAATCTGAATAGATTAATAGCATAACCGGTATACAATCTCTACATCTACACCTCAACCCCCCCAGCAAGAACATCCACAACCTTCTCCTGAAAATCCACCGCCAACGCCGGCCCCTCACGTCCCCGAAACTCCCCCCGCAGACAGGCCAGCACAGCCCTCGTATACCCCGCCCCCATCTCCTTCGGCAACCCCTGCTGCGCCAGCGCAATCAGATCCTCAAGCACCTTCTTCGGCCGCGGCAGCCGCCCGCTCTTCTCCGCCTCGCGGATCTTCCCCTCCATCAGTCGCGACAGCGTCACCCACAGCCCGATCTCAAGTAAGACCACCCCAAGCGCGTAGATATCGTGCTCGCGACTGAACTGCTGCGTCGGCCGGCCCTGCCGGCTCGGATGCCGGTAGAGATTCGGCTCGACCTCGAAGTCGGAGCGCATGTCTGTGCCTTGCTGCACCGAGCGCGCGTAGCCCCAGTCGCTGAGGTAGGAGACGATTCTGGGCGTGTCGCCTGGGGTGAGGGCCGAATGGCTGAGACGGTGCTCGTAGAGGCCGGATGCGCTGGGTCCGGTGGGGGTCTCGAGGAAGAGGAGGATGCCCCTGCTCCAGATGTTTTTGTGGAGCCAGGCCGAGGCGTGCAGGTTGGAGAGGGTCAGGGCGAGGCTGTGCGCCATGCTGAAGCGGTCGTTCAGGGAGGGTTTCTTCAGTGGACGTTTGGTCTGGCTGTCGACTGCGTTGATGAAGGCGTGTAGGGTTGTTAGGGTTGCGTCTGCGGTGGGCTCTGAGGGGGGGAGTCTGTAGAGGAAGACGCTGCGCTCGTTGGTGGGTTGGTCGATGAAGCCGAGGCATTCGAGGGCGTAGATCTTTGGCTGGTTGAGCGAGTCGGAGGGTGTGGACGTGCCGGTGAAGGTTGTGTTCTGCAGCAGCCAGGCGAGATTGCGGATCGGTTCTTTGAGTTCTTCGATTTCGTCCGGCTCGAGGTCGTCGCGTTTGAGCATGCTCTCGTACTCGTGGTACTCGACAATCACCGTCATCGCCTCAGACTCCGAGGAAGACCAGCACCCCAGTCGGAAGCCCCCAGTCGTCTTGCCTTCTTCGGCGATCGTGCCAGGTAGGCTCTGGTAATTAGCCGGCGCCTTGGTCTCGGCCAGCGTCCGCCGCTTCATCACCGGCTCCAGACCACTGCTCCTCAGTCCCTGGTGATCGCTCTCCGCCATTCTGGCCAGCGTATCCTGTGACATGTGCTGCATGAGATTGCGCAGGTCCTCGGACCACTTCGTATACGCCTCCAGGATGCGATTCAGCTTCTTCTTGTGAAAAGCGACCAGTCGTACCCCTTGAGTTTGAGCGACCGGGCCTTGCTCTTTGCGCGCTCTAGCAGCGACTCCTGCGTCTTGGCAGGCTTTTCAGGCTCGATGGCGAGCTCCTCGTCTACGAGACCGTACTTGGCGGCGACGAGCTCGTACTCGGCGAGAGTCTTTCGCATCTGCACCAGTAGCCCTTCGACGGTGTCTGCGATGAAAGGGTCCGCCTTTCCCGGGAGCAGGAGGCCATGCTCGGGGTGGAAGAAGGTGCGTTTGAAGAAGAGCAGGGTGGAGAGTTGCACATTGAGCTTCAGCCGGATCTCGGCCCGGTCGTCGTCAAAGGCTTTGATGTCGGAGATGACGCCTTGGATGAAGACGGTTACCTGGTAGACTTGGGTAATGGCCGTCACTGCCGTACCATAGACATCCATTTTTAACGTTTCTTGACTGAATGAGAATAAGCAAAGAGGAGAAATGCCAGACGATTGACGAGGAGGGGTTGATGAGGCTGAGAGTAAGCACACTAACGGCGCCAAGTGGGATGAGGCTGGACTACTGCAGTCGCTGACAGAATTACTCCCTCGTATATAGAGAAGAAGTCCTGAAGAACCCCGCAGAGTGATGATATACATATTCGTGCCATCACTCTGGTAAACTTGGAAATGACCGACCTCTCCTCCTACGACGAAGTCCTCAACTCCCTCTCGGACGAGGACAACTACTACACCATCAACAGCAGCGATCTCTCTCCCTCGCTCCAAGCCTGGTCCAACTCCACAGACATCGACGAGCTCGACCTCAACAGCCTCAATCTCTCTTCCAACTCAGACTCATGGGTCGACCCCTTAGAATCCGCCATAACCGCCACACGCAACGGCTCCTCCCCCGTCCTCAGCACCCTGTCACAATTCACCGCCATCCTCGCCCAAACAGGAATCCACGGCCCCCGGATCCTCAAGGCCCTCAACCTCTCCACACGAGGGACCAAAATCGGCGCCGGGGCCCAGTTCACCGTCTTCAGCGACCCCGTCTACGAAGGCCAAGTCATCAAGCGCGTCAATGTGCCGCTGTCCAGTAAAGCGGAGCAGCGCTTCGCCGCCAGCATGGACTACCGTCTCCAGCTGCGCACGCTGGCGCTGGAGGTTCTCTCACTGTGTAACCCCGCGATGCGCGCGCACCCGAACATCACCAGCCTCCTGGCGTGGGGGTTCGATTTCCCCTTTGCGGACATGGCCGTGCCGGTGCTGTTCATGGAGGCTGCGATGATGCCCTTGTCTGATTTTCTGGGCGCGGAGAAGCAGAGCGTGGAGGTGAGGTATCAGCTGTCGCTGGATGTCGCGAATGGGCTGGAGGCGCTGCATAATCTGAAGATTGTGCATGGGGATGTCAAGCCGGATAATGTGCTGGTGTTTGCGGGTCCGAGTGACCGGGTGCCCTTCCGGGCGAAGCTGAGTGATTTTGGCGTCTGTGTGGATTTGGAGGCGCCGGATGCGAAGTTCGCGTTGAGCGATTATCGGGGCACGCCGGCGTGGCTGGCTCCAGAGGTGGTGGATGGTGATCTGGCGAGGTTTGGTGGGTTTTCGTCTGAGCTGATGTTCAGGTTCGACGCCTATAGCTTTGGGTTGGTGCTGCTGTCTATCTTTGCGAGTGACGGTGAGGCGCCTGTTCTGGATGAGGACCCGGAGAATGTTCCCGATCAGGTTTTCGAGCTGCTGTATAGCCAGGAGGACATTCCCTCGTCTATACGTGGGGAGCTGCGCAAAGCTATATCGAAGCTGCTGTCCGAAGATCCCGGAAAACGGTCACTTCCTGGTCCGGGTCTGATCAAAACTGACTCCCCGGCATACGCAGCTTGGTAGGTTACGCTACTCCTGTATCAACGGAATATAGCTGACCATTAGGCTCTCCTCCATCCAATTGACACCCAAAAACACTCACGTGGGCATCATCGACCCGATCTATAACAAAGGTCCCTTGTTCTGGTACCGGCTCGATGAGACCGTTCGCACAGAGCTGGAAGAGCAATATGCCCTGACCAAAGAGGGAAACGCACCGCCATTCCCCGGCGATGTGTTTTTTGGACTAGCGCAGACAGTCACCGGCGCAAAGCCCTCGTACCTCGATCGGCTGCTGGCGTATCTGGCCGAGGCAGCGAGGGCGGGATACTCACCTGCAAGGGCGGTATATGTGCAGATCATGAAGGCGCATGGTCGAAAGCCGGAGTTTGAGGAGGGTGTGTTGGAGGAGTGGATGATGCAGGCCGTTTCGGAGGGGTATTTCTTTGCAAGTCCCGGTTATTTAGGGGAAAAGATCGAGGATGCAAGGGAAAGGTTCAGGGCCAACGGAGGCTTCTGTTCGGATCCGTTTCTGGGGAAGAAGGATGTCGTTGAGGCTGCGAGGGACAGGAACAGAGCCCTGAAGTGGGAGAGGAAGAATGGAAGCGTTGTTGATCGGAAGCGAAACACAATCCTGCACGCTGCGGCTGCTTTGGGGGTTATTGATGTCGTTCAGGGATTACTAGATCACGGACAGACGCCTGTCAATGTGGAGAATGAGAAGGGAGAGACGCCACTGTACAAGGCGTTCCAAGCTGGCCACGCGAAGATGGTCGAATTATTGCTCGACAGGGGTGCCGACGCTTCGACTATGACCCCGCAGGAAAAGGTCAGTCCAATGCACTGGCTGTTTTTGATTCCCGACATTTCGATTGCTCGAATCGCGAGGAGAATGATCGAGGGAGGCGCAAATATCAACGCAACCATTGAGCCCGTTGTCAAGGAGAACAGTGGTGGATTTCCAGAGAAGACCCAGGTTCTTCACTAGTATGTCCTCCGTCTTTTGCTCAGAGCGATCTAACAGCGACAGTCCATTTGAGCTTCCCCACGGCACCCCTCTGCACTGGGCCTGCTTCTTCCGCAACATGACAGCCGTCGAAGCCCTGGTTTCGCTGGGTGCCAATGTCAACGCAAGCTATCATGCCTCGGATGCATCCACCACTCCGCTTGCCTTGACTGCGTACTTTGGTGAATCCTCTCTAGCCAGGTACTTGGTATCTCACGGTGCTGATGGCAGTCTGGTCGACTCCATTGGACGCAACACGCTGCACGCAATAACGAAATACTTCCCCGAGCGACATGGCTATCTCCCTCACCACTGGCACTACTGGATCCGTCACGGCCACTGGGAGCAACATCTGACCCGTATGACGGATCTGGTTAAGATACTTGTGGACGCCGGAGCAGATATAAATGCCAAAGACAAGGCATATCCGCCGTTGACTCCCATCGCCGCTGCTGCCGATCTAGGAGTCTGGGACGGAGGGGTAGTCTGTGCGCTGTTAAACGCAGGGGCAGACTTGAGTGAATCTGTTCTGTCGGCTGGAGATACGGTTCTGCATACGTGGGCATCCATAGTTGGACCACGTCTAGCCTATCCCGATTCTTACCTACCAACCTTGACGAAGATCGTCAATGCCATGCCGGACATTGACATCCTAAACATGTTTGAAAAGGAAACTCCGCTGCATTCGTTAGCCACTATCTACCACCTAGAGGATGAATTCGAAGCATCATGCGAGATCTTCCTCCATCACTCCCCTCCAGCAGACATCAACGCAAAGTCCCGCCGCGGAGCGACTGCGTTGACCATCGCCCTCGGCACGGATCTCGACCCGGCACGACGAGGCCTCTTCCTACTGAGCAAGGGAGCGGATCCGCTCGTCCTCAACGACCTGGGAAGGGACATCTTCTTCGCGATCGTCAACAACACCGTCCTGACGGACCAGGCCTCGCACGATCTGATCCAGACTTTCCTCCGCCACTTGAATCCTGATATCCAGCAAGCCTATACACAACATTATCTCCCCAATGCCAACAGCCACCATACCCTTTTCGCCGCCGCAGAACGTGGCAAACCGCTCACGCTAACACTTCTCCTCTCCCTGGGCCTAGCCCCTCGTATCAACGAACTCAATCCAAGTAAATCCCCATCATGGACAGTCCTAGATCAAGCCCTTCACTCCGCGGAAATCAGCCGCCGCTCACACATGCGACGACTGGCGGACCACAAGCCCGGCGCCAGTAGGAACCAAGCTATCGAGCAGAACCTCGTGTATGACGAATTACAGGGTCCGCCTGCTCGAGCTGCCGAGGCTTACCGGAGTTTTCCCGCGGTGATACGGATTCTGAGAGATGCGGGGGGGAAGCGAGCGTGCGAGTTGGATGGTAGGTTGAGTGGGGAATACATTGCGCAGCCTGGAGAGTGGGACTTTACCGCCATATACGGGTATGGATTTACGCCGAGGATGCAGCCGAATCTCGAAGAGTGGAAGGGGCTGTATGAGATGGAGAAATTCTCTGAGCAGTGGAAAGAGAATAGGATGAAGGATCTGAAGGAGGAGTACGAAGAGGGAAGGTGGAGGCCGGATGTGCGAATGCTGGAGGAGGAGGATCAATCCTTTGTGAAGGAGCTAGTCTGCTGTCTGGCAGGAGAGGGGATGATCACGCTGGAGGCTGTAGATAGTCAGAAAAAGCAATGGCAGGTCGAGATGGAGGGGGGGAGGATTGTTAGTAGACAGATGAAGAGGGGATGACACTATTGGAAAGAGACCATCAATGTCTATACGTCACCCCTTGATTTCTAAACAAGCAAAGATAAGAAGCTTGGCTATCCTTGGCCACAAATGACAGCTTACTTGTGCAGATCACTCGAGAGTACCTTCCTGTATGGAACGATCGTAGGCTCAACATGTCATTGTGCAGATTCTCCGACACGCTAACGTCGCGTCCAGCGCCACAGCATCACTTCCCGGTGATGAGGGGCAGACATCTTTAGCAAGACATAAAAGCCTCGCAACTCAGTCATCAATCTACATTCAACCCTCCATCACTGAGAAACAATCACAATGGCTACTAAGATCAAGCTCCTCCCCAACCCCCACTACCGCAAGTCCGGGATCAAGTCCTATGTCCACCTCATGCGCAAGTACCGCTTCACCCCTACAAAGGGCGGGCGATACTTTTTCGGCAGCTCTATTCACCAGACGGGCCGCCAGTATACTAGCCTGCCTGTCGGTGGCAAGGCCCGCATCCAGCACGTCCTGCGCAAGAGAATCGCGGATACAGACCAGTCCGGCGAAGTTGGCGCCGACGACGTCCAAAATGACGCCATGTACCTGGCGCCAGTCAGTATTGGGACGCCGGCGCAGACGTTGAATCTGGACTTTGACACGGGATCTGCGGATTTATGGGTGAGGCACCATGTATCTCGTTTAAAACCTGCAAGATTCTAAGAAAGTAGGTCTGGTCAACCAAACTCCCCCAGGCGACCATCTCCCAGCACAACACCGGCACAGTCTTCGACCCAAGCAAGTCCAGCACATTCAAAGAACAGTCCGACTCCACGTGGAAGATCTCCTATGGTGATGGCTCCTCCGCCTCTGGTACGGTAGGCACCGATACAATCTCGCTCGGCGGCTTGAAGGTCACAAACCAGGCGATCGAGCTGGCCGACACCCTCTCCGCGCAGTTCCAGCAGGGAACCGGCGACGGTTTGCTGGGACTGGCGTTTAGCAATATCAACACGGTTCAGCCGCAGGCTGTCCGCACGCCTGTCGAGAATATGATCGCTCAAGAGGACATCCCGAAATCTGCGGAACTGTTCACCGCGAAGTTGGGTTCCTGGAAAGACGCGGATGAGCCGGATAAGGGCGAGTCATTCTACACGTTTGGGTTCATCGATCAGGATACCGTGACGGCGTCGGGCCAGGAGGTATACTACACCCCCATCGACAAGAGTCAGGGGTTCTGGCTGTTTGACTCTGCCTCGGCGACTGTGAATGGCAAGACGATTGCGAGGTCGGGGAACAAGGCCATTGCTGATACGGGGACGACGTTGGCGCTGGTCGATGATGAGACGTGTCAGGCAATTTATGATGCTATTCCTGGGGCACATTACGACGAGGACAGTCAGGGGTATATTTACCCATCCAATACGACAGTGGACAAACTTCCGGTCATCTCGTTTGCCGTGGGAGACAAGCAGTTTGTCGTGCAAAAGGAGGATCTGGGCTTCGCCGAGGCCAAATCGGGGTATGTCTACGGAGGTATCCAGAGCAGAGGGAGTATGACTATGGATATCCTCGGTGACACATTTCTCAAGGGAATTTACGCAGTACGTCCTTTCTCCTTGTGTTTTGAAGATGTCTTGCTAATGGTGGTAGATATTCGACGTCGGCAATCTTCGTTTCGGGGCTGTCCAGCGAAAGGAGTTGCATCAGAATCTGTCCGTTCCTCAATGAGTCATTGGTGTCTTTCTTGAGACCTGGCCAGCAATGAGCGGCATTGTTGTCCATTGCAGAGACAATGCCTTTGTTTTGTTGTCTCGTTGTTGTAGACATATCTTTAATAACAAAGAATTGTATCAGAGTCCGTTGCTTTGTTTTCCATAGTAGCAATTGAAACATATTCAAGACACCATCATCTACACTCTGTAGTGTTTGAAACATCGTGTATTAATCTCAAGACACTTCTCAAGACTCGAATATAAATATCGCAGTGATACCATGAAGTCCATATTCTCATCATCATTCTCCTCTCTCTTCATCCAACAACCCTACATTCTCACCACAATCTACGAACTCCCAGCCGAAAAAGACACTACCCAGAATGACTTCAAGACACACAATGGTTTGTCAATATCCCACCCCTTTGCGAGGAAAAATACTAATTCATCCTCAGCATCTCCCAATCGAAGTGCGCGAAAAGCTCGCGCTTCTCCCCGAGTCTCCCTCCCGCGAAGAGCTATATGTGCTCTGGACCCACCTCCTACAGAGGTATTTCCCCTTCCCTCTTTATGGTTCTCTCCCCAACCTGTCCGATCTTCCTGACGAGACCGAGGTGAAGTACGCTCTAGGCAATCATCAGGAATCAGAGACCTCACACATCTCTCTTGCCGTCAGCCGCGAATATGGCCCGTTTGACCGTCTGAACTTCCTCCATGTCTTCTGCCAGGCTGAGCCCAAGCAAGGACCATGGTGCTTGGCAGAGCTGCAGGCTATGTTGAAGGAACAGATGACAAAGGAATCTCACAGTCCGATTGCAAGGGAGCGCGGGATGACCATCCACGGCGCGATCGTAACCGGTCGAGAGGTCAAGTTCTACAAATTGAAGCGCGACGGCTCGTTTGAATGCATGAGGTGGTTGGCTGAGGAGAAGGAGAGTCTGCATATCCTTGAGAATATGCGGATCATTACCTCCCACCTCATGCAGGTAAACTATGAGGTGAGAATGCGTGATTGATGTTCCGGTGGATTTCGAATCCGTTTTGCTTTTGATTTGGTGATTTTCTTGCGCTATCTGATTTGGTTGGTTGATTATTGATTATTGGCTTGCTTGGTTGACTTCGGTCTGGTGAGTTATGCAACTGTCCTGCGTTTTTAGTATTTGTCTTGGTTGTCTAACTTGATCGATATATCTGGTTGGAAGGGCTTATACAGTTTGCAATCTTTTGAACAATCATGAATTCGGCCTTCATTTGCCTGTCCTACTGCGTAGACACGCATTTCACTAAAACAACTAGTCCCTGATCGACCTAAGTGCTGCCACCTTAGGCAAGCTTGACAGTCCGCGGCCGATTCTCTGTCATATTTTATGATGGCCTACTGATGACAAGATCTTGATTTTGCGTAGAAAGACCCGGAAAGTCAGGCTGATCTGCCGTAGACTCTTCATGAAGGATCTCCCCTCCCAGTATACTGGAGACCTCGACAGCTAAAACTACAATCGTAAGTCCAATAAGGGAACCGCACTGACCCGCAAGTTAGGAAGCTCATCTGACACAGAATATCCTGACCTGGCAGTTGTCGAGAGGTCAAAATGTCCGTCTTTTCCTTCCGTCTTTTCTCGTCGCCTGTCATCTGGCAGCCTGAACGGAATCACGGTCCGATCCCTTGATCCCTCGAGCGTTGATTGACGCAGATTTTTCAGGGCATGATTCCGGTTAAATAAGGTAATCAGATTGTATCCAATCGGGAGGGATCGACTGGTTGTCAAAGCTTATGCAAGGGTTAAATAGATTAACCTGTCTGCAGTTTTGCCGTTTCGGCTCATGCTTGTCTTACCTGGCTGAATCCTGTAGAGATGGGATTTTTGCGGGGTAAACGTGCCTCTCCGTACTCAATGAGGAAGGTCAAGTAGGGTATATAGATCAGACAGATATCTTCCGAATACAATGCTTCCACCTGGTAGATTATGGTTTGATGATATGATGCTCCTCCTTGGCATATTTCTTGCCTCGCTTGCGGTGGCTGCCGCGCAGAGCAGCTGCGTTTCAGCTTGGTGAGTCTTCCCCTGACCAGAGTTGGCCTTTGACTAAGAGTAAGGGGCCAATGTGGTGGCATTTCTTATACCGGGTCTACCTGCTGCCAGAGTGGGAATGCCTGCGTCGAGATCAATTCGTACTACTACCAGTGCACACCAGCAACAGGTGTAAGTATTATCGCCATCGAACTATTTGTACTGGGTGTAACGCAGAGTAGACTTCGACTGCCACCAGCACCTCTTCCTCTGGGTCTGTTACATCTTCTGCCAACACATCAGGCTACACAACGACTACTGTATTCCCCAGTGCTACAGCTACACAAAGCCCTTATCCTGCGGCCAATGCCAGCTCATGTGGGTCGTGGGCTCTCGTTGATAACGTTTGCTGTCCATACTACTGTCTCTCGAATAATGAATCCGAGTCCTGCACGAGCGGCTGTACTGGCGGCTGCGGCAGTCCTGATTCGTCCATGTGCAAGTCCGGGACAATGTGTACGTTTCTCCTACGAACTCCGAGCATGACTGATACTAGCAGGGGGAGAACAACATAGCGTAACCTCGAACGAGGACTGGCATTACAGCGTGAGTATCCCATATCCTCCCACGAAACCAAACCATACTGACAGCTACAGCGCTCAACACACTTTGGTTTGACCAGCGGCGGCGCCTGCGGGTTCGGCTTGTACGGCCTCTGCACCAAGAACAGCGTCACTGCCAGCTGGACAGACCCCATGCTGGGCTCTACCTGCGACGCCTTCTGCACCGCGTATCCACTCCTCTGCAAGGACCCTGCTAATGTAACCCTTCGCGGGAACTTCGCCGCCCCAAACGGGGACTATTACACTCAGGTGAGTACACACAGAACTCTGAAGTGACAACGCTGAGTGAATAGTTCTGGTCATCCCTGGCTGCATCCGGCAATCCCGACAACTACCTCTCCTGCGGCGAGTGTTTCGAGCTCATCCGTACCAAAGCCGACGGGACGGACTACGCCGTCGGTGAAAGCGGATATACCGATCCCATCGTCCTCGAGATAGTAGACAGCTGTCCCTGCGACGCGAACTCAAAATGGTGCTGTAAGTCGACCCCTTTCGTCACTCCAACGCAAAATCTCACAAGACCAGGCGGAAGCGGCGCAGACCACTGCGGCGAAATCGACTTCAAGTACGGCTGTCCCCTGCCGGAAGGATCCCACCACATGGACCTCTCCGATATCGCCATGGGCCGGCTACAAGGAAACGGCAGTCTCACCGACGGCGTGATTCCCATCCGCTACCGGCGCGTTCCCTGTCCCAAGCCGGGAAACATCTACATCTGGCTCCATGATGGCGCGGGGCCGTACTACTTTGCTCTGAGCGCGGTGAATACCAACGGCCCGGGCTCGGTGGTTAGTATCGAGGTACAGGCCGGTGGCTCTGGGAGCTGGATTGCACTCGAGCACGATCCGAACTATACAAGTAGTCGGCCGCAGGAGCGGTATGGCAGTTGGGTCCTCCCGCAGGGCAAGGGACCCATCACTGCGCCTGTTGCGATGAGGCTGACAGCGCCAGATGGACAGCAGGTGGTTAAGGAGGGGGCAATTACCAGCTTTATCCCGCCGGCGACTGCAGTCACGGGGTTCTGGTATATTGATCTGGGGGTGCAGTTTACCTAGGCAGATGGGGTGCAGGCAGTGCCAGCAAGGACTGGTTATGCTTAAGCAGATAGTTGGATAGTGGTGCAGTGATTTAAAATGATACTGGCGGTTGAAAAGGCTCTCCAATTCCCTGCAGTCGGTCATGGTTCTCCTATCTGAACTTGCCCAAAGCGCGGATAATAGCCCAGCACTATTTCAATCACCAGATAAATGGTCATAGGTAGCAGGACGTATATCAGAGTGAGTGTGTTATCAGATTGATCAAACTGATTCCACTGAAAGTATCGACCCCCTACGGCGAAATGTCCAGACTGTCAAGAGATGGATTGGCAGCTCAGCGGCTGTCACTCCTCCGGCGTGGCTCCTCCTGCCGCAAAGGGTCCACTGCTTCGGCCCCAAGATATGAGGTAATATACAATTCCCCATCGTTCTTGATCAGAGCACTAATGTAAATATGGGCACCCTTGCCGTCTTCGAGTCTACGATGCTGGTTAAGATGCTCTAGCACATCGAGGTACTCCCCTGCGTATTTACCACGGCCACGTGTCTCCATCCAGTCTATCAGGTTCCCTGCCCACTCGGCGAACGGGGTGTAGAACTTGATATCTGGCACGGACTTGCCGGGTGCGATATCGAAGTAGTAGATGTAGCTATGGAGAATCTCCGGCAGCTCGCCAAAGTTGTCTTTGGTCGCGGTGGTGTAGTGACTGCTAGTGAATGGCCTTTCCTGATCTTCCGGGAAGTCTGGGTCAAGACCCGAGACGGCGCAGATGAGGGAGCGCAGCTCCTGGAGATGCTCCTCAGCAACCTGCTTTCGACCACCCATACTCATGATGCGGCGCACAGACGCATAACAGTAGCGGACATCGGGCTTGCCCTTGGCCGTGTTCCATTTCCACGAGTATTCGATTGGAGAACCCTCGTTGCCGAGGAGAGACTTCCAGTTGGGCCGGCTATCATTTCTCAGCGCTGGACCCAAGTAAGGAATCTTGATGGTCAGTCAGGAAAAGCCAGAGGACTCTCTGCAGGTGATAAGCTTACGATCCAATGATAATGAAACAACAGTGCGTTATACTGTGCCTCGACTGTATAGCCAGCCGCCACCATCATATAGGAGATGTGTGGACCGGTTAGCTTCCACCAGTATTCCAAATCCGGGTTGGTGACTGAAATCCATTGCGAGACAGCGTCCCACACAGGGGTGACTGCCTGATCAGTCATCCTAGAAGTTGGTGTGGGTTAAACTAACCAGGACTCCGTCTAGAAGCCCCCTGCTTCAAGCAAACGGCATGTATATGTATAAAAATAACACAGGGAATCGGGGAATACGGGTATCATTGCGTGGAACTTAACTGGAACCGGGAACCCCTCCTAATCGGGAACTGTTGTGCATCTTTAAGGATAGATTTAGGACCCTCTACTGGGTAATAGCGCCGGGCAAAGTTCAAAGGCCGGGCATTCAACATTGGCAGCCGGGCTTAAGGCACAGGGCTGTTAAATCCCGTAACTTAAGTCCGAGCACGCAGCTATATCAAGGCTGATGCAACATCTCAGACAACGACAACAATAACAACAACATCTACAAACACGTTCATGGCTTCCAATTCCAAACCCGTTATCCTTGTCACTGGCGGTAACCAGGGCCTCGGCCACGAAAGTCTCAAAGTCCTGGCCCGAACCAACAAATACCAGCTGGTCGTCGGCGCCCGCTCTCAGTCCAAGGCCGACGAGGCCGTCAAGGTCATTGCTTTTGAGACTGGCAATGCAGACTTAACGCCGGTTGTTATTGATCTGGATAGCGACGAGACCATCTTCCGTGCCGCTAAAATGGTCGAAGAGAAATTCGGCCACCTGGATATCCTGGTCAACAATGCCGGCATCAACCGCTCACCAAAACCCAATGCCACTCTCCGTGAGGACCTCCGCGCTGTTTTTGAAACGAATGTTTTCGGTGTGGCTGTCATGAATGAGACCTTTCTCCCGCTGATCCGTAAATCAACTTATCCTCAGCGCCGTATTGTGACGGTTACCAGTGGCCTGGGGATGTTTGGTGTTGCCCTGACCGAAAGCTCTCCTTACAACGCCTGGAACTACAAATTTCCTGTATACCGCAGCAGCAAAGCAGCCGTCAATATGATCTCGGCCGTCGACATGATTGCACTCCGGGAGGAAAATATCTCGACTGTTCTAGTCGAGCCTGGATACTGCCGTACGGCTTTTGGAGGGTTCCAAGGGCACAAGGATGCTGACGAGGGTGGGAAGGTTATTGCCCGTGCCGCTGTTGAGGGGGATAACAAAGATTTGTTCCTGAAGATTGTCGATGATGAGGGCAAACATGCCGAGTTCGGCTGGTAATGGAGTAGCGAGGCATCGGGATACAGTGTCGTTGTTTACAGAAGGAGTTTCCACAAATGAGTATATTTTAGAATAATCATTGATATGCCGCAGATTGAGTGTGCCTAAGTTGGAATTTTACACAACATCCATCTCTGTTACGCTACTAACACCAGGCTCGTAGTCTTTCTAGTCGATAGCTTCAAGCCGATAACTATATATGTAAAAGATGATATCATACCCATAGATCCATTCCTTTACAACGACGAAACAATGGACCTTCAATTAATATCGGTTTCCACGCTTGCGGCTGCTCCTGGGCGCATCCATTTTTATTTCTAACTTGCTTTCGAAGAGGTCTTTATCAAAGGTCCCTCTGTGGGGCGACCAGCTGGGAGCGAAGGCACGACGAGATGCTTTACTCAAGAAGTCCAAGGCAATCTACTTGGAGAGCTACCAGAAGGCAAGGATATTAGTTCTAAGGTTCATGCGTGATCTGCTCTAACACAAATCATACACAGTACAAGGATTCCCTTAGCTTTCGCGTCAGTACGACAGAAGACAGTAAGGCAATGTCTCATCCATAGCTTGGGAAAGAGCTTGCAGTAACCATCGTACAGGCGGCGAGAAACTTGTTGTTTCCGCGAATTATCTTGCCGAGCTGAAGAAACTCCCTCCCAGTGTTCTAAGCTTCGAAGAAGCTCATAATAAGGTTTTGTGCAACTAGGGAATCAAAGGTTGTTGAGGCATTCCCAGATCCAGATGAAGCAGAAGGGGTTAAAGACTATGAAGGGTGGATAGATTGCTCCATTTATACGCTGGTAAGGCTATGGGATTCTATGGAGGATATAATTAATATAGTGGATTTCTTCGTTACAGTAGAGGATGGGGTTTGTTCATCATGAGCTTGTTCTTTTTGATGATGGCTAAATGCAGCAACATGTACAGACATTCTATGATGGACCGCTCCCTCTGGAATACACAGTATGGTACTGAGGACTCTATATTCTGCAGAACACTGGAATGTCTAATAACCTGCATGAGGGCCTGACTCACATCAGCAAGGTCCTAAATAAATCTGAGATAGCCAGTACTGCTAATCCCACTCCATAGAGAGCAAGGGAAGCCTCTAAATTGCGGCACAGTCAAGACGCATACTGAGTAAACTATCTCCAGCGTCTCCAGCTTGCTGATGAGGTTGGCCATGAAGTCTTTCCCGGGTGATGACACTATAATGTGACTGACAGGGTCAGTACATAATTGAACTTATTTTATTAGTCTCCCTACCGAGCCACTTTGTCTCTGGTGTACCCTGCGTTCTTTCTCTAGACTCAATCGACAAACGGGAACAGTCACTTCGCTAGGAGGACAATGGGCAAAAATGTCCAAGGTTGTCAATCAGTGTAATAAAGTAGAGACAGTCTTCGACTGCGCAGTGGAGTGGACCTCCCATTGAATAAGAAGTTGTCCATATCTAGGCTTGAGTTACCGTGTCCAAATGAGGCGATGCGGGACTGCATAACCATCGTATAACCCGGGCAAGTCAGTCCATCGCTGTACTCTAGGCAGAAAGAAGGCAACCGCGTTCACTGAGTAGCTCCTCAAAAACTATAGCACTTCTTTTATTTTGCGATTGGACCCAGGTGAGACATTAATGCATGATTAACGTCCAGCGCCGTCCGGAAACTGAGAACTCTCGCCACCGGGACTTTGCATAGCATTTATCGCGGCTAGAATTTGTCAATAAGCTAGATAACGACAATGGGCCACCAACAGGGCTTACTGTCGATCATCTGCCAGTCGACACTGGAAGCAGGTGTTGTGATTGGAAAGCTTTCAATGCCGTCATTTGACGGAGACCAATCAGCCAACGCCGTCGCATCAAAGTCGGGGAATTGAATGTTGAAACGGGCAGGGTTCCCTATCCAGACAATTGTCAGGCCTCGGCGCCGGTCAACAGGTATGGCAGGTTGCGCTTACCTTGCGGGTCCGGACAGGTGGTATCATTAATGCAATGCTGCCGGCGAAACCTGCAAGAGCAATGACTTTGTCTCGTCATTTGCACTGTCGCTATTGGTAGAATTGCGGTTTCCGAGAATCATACTCAGAGCTTTCAATACTCTCTGTGCCTCCTTCGAAGAGCGGCTAGAACGAAGCCAAATGTCATATATTTTTTGGAGCGACGTCCAGATGGTCGCCCCGATCACAGCGCCCTCGTATCCTTTATTTTGGGCACGAGCTTGATGTAGGTAAGAGCACAGAATGCTGGTGGCAAGCAGAAAATCATGGTTAACTAGAAAGGAGACTCGCCATCGCTCCTGGTATAATCGGCAGAACGGCTGCGTCTCTTCTTGGAGGACGTGCTGATAGTCGAGAAGTTTGAGCGCTGCATCTAGACATGCCTTCTGGGAGTAGTCATGCTGCGTGTCTGCTTGCCAGCTATGCAGGTTTCTCTGATGCAACACGATTTGCGCACGGTGGAACATAATCTCCAAGAACACCTTTTGCATGATCATCTGGGGTGAATCCACGATGCAATGGACCATAGAACGCCACTGGAGACATGACGGGATTGTGCTATGCGCATCTCGAAGCATGCTATCCATCTTCATTATCTCCGTGTAGGGATATTGCCTTGTGTCAGTCGCCAGATCCCACACAAAACCGATTGTTGCCATCATCCTTGCCTTGACAAGACGGTAGAGCATATGTGTGAGTCCGTTCTCGGGCCGCGAAGCCGGCATATTAGCCGTGGCTCGATCAAAATCGTTGTCGTGAAGGTTCGACGGCCCTCCCGTATCAGTTTGCCAATGCTTGATCAGTCGATGAAGGACCAGTTGAGTAGAGATTCCAAGGTCAAGCTCAACAATAGTAGCCCAGACGCGCTTCCGCATCTCGGCTGTAGAGGGAGACATACTGGGGGAAATGATGCGGGTCCCGGAGGTAGCCCATATGCATTGCCAGCTGTACTATAGTGCCAAGGAGGATCCATACCCCAATTTCAGCGTCACTCCGGAAGAATAACTCCACGCAATATATAACATGAGCGTCTCGAGCACATATGGCCCCCCTTTTGCGTACTCTCCCAATATAAGGCATTGTACGACCTTCTGGCGGAAAAGCTCGATCTTGTTTTGAAGGTCGTGCTCTCTTGACAAGGATGCGGGCGTTTGTATCCCTGGATCTAACCTGAATTTCTGAAACTGGGTGGCGAGGCACATTATGGTAAACAGGAGGCCAAGCCATATAAATGGCGTTTCTGACGGGCTCTCCCAGAATCTTTCATACTAGACTCAGCCGTCAGTTTTATCCATGTTGGTTGGGAAGGGGGTTCCAATGCCTCTTTCAAAAACTCGACACTATGCAGTACGGCTTGATGCTTCATCAGTCCAGAGCATACCAGTCATGTTGGGAGCGTGCTAACCTGGGGACATATCGAATGAATTGAAATAGCGTGAAATCAACTGATCGACAACCAGCCGCTCTGGGATTGTCGCCAGAATCTCTTCCTTCGTCGCAAGCCCGGTACACCCATAAAGGAGCGGACCGCCCCGCTCAGCAAAAGAGAGCTCATCCAGTGGAGTATCATCTTGCACTTCTCCTTCCTCGTTGAGATGGTTTTTCAGCTCAGCAATCCCATCAAGAACAGCAGCCCAATGAGCGCTGTTGACGTAGTTGGTAGTCGATTGCAAGCTGCCGCAATGGGATGCTGGTGAGTTGCCTTTCGAGAGATCTGCGTATGGAGAAGCTGCAAATGATCGATCCCTCGACGTTACGGGAGAATCGTGATGTGCCGTAATGGCTGAAGGCGTTTGATTGGAGTTACCCGTTGATGCTCCTTGCATCAGGCCAACCACTAGACTTTCTAATTTCTGGACCCTCTCTTGAACGTTTGGCCGTCGCTGGTGAGCATTGATCGGCTTTGAAATGTAAGCGCAAGAAAGACCTAAACCTCGGTTCGCACAGGTCCCACATGGCTGCTGTCGGTCACATCGGAGCCTGCGACAGACGAAAATAAGATGTTGGTATTAGGGAACACTCAATTTCTCTGTCTGCAAAGACTGCAGGAAAGCAGCGGTCGTTCTCGACGTCTGCTACATGGCCGGCGTGCTCTCCCCCTAGCTGGTTTGCCCGGCCCCCATTCTGGAAGTTGAGGTTCTTTGTGATCTGCCATACTTTTCACAGGCACTCAATGCAGCCAATCAAGCACCAAGGTAAATCCGGGTGAGTATTGTCAGAAAACACTTGATTTGATGGGCCTAATATGCTCAAGTTGGCATGGTAAAGCTGGCACAGTAAAGCTCAAGAAGCCACTTGATGAAACAGTGATATAACATGGTCCAACCGGTTTAGGTCAACCCCGCCTCTCTTTCTCTTTCAATCAAAAGGATAATGACGGCCGAAGGAGGACTGTTGTTTTTCCCTTTCCCAGCTGTTGGATCCAGGCGGGGTTGCTGTCACTGTGGGCCTCGAAGTGATAACCCCGGTCATTCACCCTAGTCTCCTAGGTTGTAAGCGTGGCCTGATGTCTACTTAGAGGTTAGTACTTTCTTTTTACTGAAATTGCCAGTTTGTCGTCCATTCCGATGCTCCGCTCCGATGCTCCGCTCCGATGCTCCGCTCCGATGCTCCAGCACTATGTCCGTCACATCGGAGTAGACGTAGTGGTTTACCCCCGGCCAAAGGATTCAAATGCTCTAAAACTAGCATTCCTTCTACTTAGGCCTCTTACTAGATATGGCAGATTTTTCTATAATCTATTAATTTATCTAAATTGGAGCTATGTCCAAATCGAATCCATCTGAACGTCAGTGGGAGTCTGATCAAGGCTATGCGGCTACCAGAGCAGAGCCAAGGAAGAACGACATGCAACCTCTCACAAACGAGAGGGACAAGGCAGTTCCAGAACCTAATTTAATTGACTGGGACAGTCCCAATAACCCTGAGAATTTGCTCAACTGGTCGTCTTGCAAAAGAAACCTGCATGTCATCATCGTGAGCCTCTTGACGCTTAATGCATAAGTGCCACACCCATCACCCCAACTTACATGACTTGTAAGTTGTCGCTAATTGACAGTTCAGGAAACCTGGACGCCACCATGTTTGCTCTAGGGGCAGAACAACTGGCCAAAGAGTTCAAAGTCACTGATTCAACTGTTGAGGCTATGACGGTTAGCGCCTCTGTCAAACTCAATAAACACTCAGCATCTTCATAAACTGATCCCCCAACGCATTCGCCGCCACTAGATTCGCACCTGTCACCAACTCATGGTCAACAGTAATACTCCCAGCCTTCTCCTTACCCCCCTCAATCATCTCAGCCCCCTCATTGCGCAGAGCCAACTCCACCTTCTCAATCTCCCCACTAAACATTATCTCCATGACCTTCTCCTCCGCATCGCTCCAGCACATGATCTTATACCCCTTATATATAAACAACCCATCCCCAACCTGCTTTGTACTCAGAAACGCAAACAGGCCATGACAGATCACCGCAGTAGGCTTCCTCTTCACGTGGAAATGCCGCAGCACCTAACCCACCTCCTTATCACCACCCAGATCCTTGAGCGGCGCATGTCCCCTGGGTATGAACACCCCCGCGAAGGAATCCAGCTCCTCGTCGCTGATGGAGCCGAGCGGCCGGGGCCGGCTGAAGCCATTCTCCCGCTTCATGCAGTTGATGAGCTCGTTCTTGCGTTGGCGTTCATAGAAGTTGCCTGTGAAGGCGAGGAGGGATTCGCTGTTTGGGTCCGGGGTGGGTTCCTGGCCCTTGGGTGAGGTGAAGGTTACTTTTTAGCTGGCGTTGAGGAGTTTTTGTAGAGGTTTAGTGAGTTCCATGAGGAAGAAGCCGGATGGTTGTTTGACTGTTTTGCCAGCGTCTAAGCTAGAGGTTTTCTTTAGGGGAAAGGAGTGGGCGTCGCTGAGGATGATGAGGATCTTTTTTCTGGTCATGGTGATCTGATTGTGTAGTTGCTTTGATTGTAGTATTATTTAGAGATAGAGGAAGGTTAAGGAGAATTGCTGTTGTGGCATATATAGGAATGGCTAGAGGAGTGATATTAGGATGATGTAGGTCTTGAAACATGGATAGAATTAATATGCATGTTTCATGAATAGGTTATTATATGATGAAATTGGAGAGAGCTATATTGGCATAATCCTTTGATGTAAAAAGTTCAACGGGGGTTATCTGCTTATTAGGCATGAATCTAGTTAGGCTGGAGCTGGTATTGGCATGCTGGATATCCTGTGGTGATTACTCTGCATCGCTTTAGACTCCTATCCTTTAAATTAATGGGTATTCCTTTTTTTTTTATATGTATACTATCTTGAAATTAACTCATCTATTAATTAACAGCAAACTGGCATAGTTTATACATGATCATTTGCAAAAGTATATATTAATAAAGCAAAGGGGAAGTGAATGAAGGGCGAGTACTGCTTTTCTTAGTAAGTGAAATAAACTAGAAGGGAATGATAAAGAGAGGACAAAAGGAGGAGTAAACACTATGCTTTAGTGCATTTAGTGTGATGACTATACTGAGTCTGAGTGGCATAGGTATAGAGAGTAGTAGCTTCTGACAGCCCGTGGGACCTTCTGAAATTCTCCTCTTTGGACTGGGGCCGCGATGATCTGAGTTTAGCCCAGAATTATTAGTGGGTGACTTTGAATAAGGGTCTTAAGTTGGGAAGACATGCTGCTGTGATGCCTACCGCTGCTTTGATGCATGTCCAGATGGTGACAGAGATTTGATTGTCTGTGCAGATAAATGGTTAAATATAAGAGCAAGACAGTGCATAAATTACCACTTACAGGTAATATCTGGTCCAGCCTTCGTGAATTTAATTATAGCGACTAATTGTACAATATCAAAGATCAGTGTCCTGGGTGTGTGGTTAGTGACTGAGGTATAATATAGGTGGACACGCAATGTACAGTCTGCTAATGATGAACACCCTGGAAAGCAGAAATCTCTGCATCTTTAAGATTGGCAGGGCCCATACAACCTTTAATGGCATAATGAGAATGATTAAGTCTGTTAAAATGTTTGGAATTTATGGTCTGTAGTAGAATTTGGCAGAGTTGATACATGATCCCTTGATTGAAGGGTTCCAAAACTTCTGGACCAGCAAACACAGTAAGGCACTGACCATGAATACAGCTAGAGCCCAGAGGATGACAAACGCCGCGATAGCATTGGCGGTGATAATCATATGAGGAACGGAGAAAAGCTGTTTGTATAAGGTGAGAATGGATAGTTTGATGAAGAGGATGCATCTGGTGTACATAAAGGAGTTGGACCATCTAATCTGGCTAGGTTAGTACTTGTCCTTGGGCAAACCTAAAATTGTGTACTTACCTTGAAGTAAACTTCTAGATTCTTCTAGGGAATCATGTTTATATGTGACCCTAAGCCATTAAACAGGACTGCATTTGGTCAGTAGATAAACTCTTAGAAGAATGTGGACAACTCATGAATGGTTACTCTGATTGAGCATCCATATTTGAATAACTTTGCGATGATCAGCATCCTGGTGGAAAATCTTTCTGACTTGGAGGATCTCACTAAGGCCATGAGAATCAGATAATCATTGAGGTACAGCCTTGTCCCATTAATCTTTCTCACCACTAAGCGTAATGCAACTGCAGCAGTGGACAGGATGAAGGTGAAGTATAGAGTAATGATAATAGACCAACGCAGATTCTGATTTGGATGTTGAAAGTCGCCTGGAGTGCTATTATCAGATACCTGATTGAGTGGCATGATGAGTGATCTAGCTGAATGTTCTGCAAAAGCAATAAAGAAAAGAAATAAGGGCTTGGATAAAAGAACTGTTAAAGAACGAGCAAGGTGGCTGCAAGTATTTGGAATCACTAGAGTTAGCTTGATGATGGAAACAGTGCTGTATATTAATGTTTCCTGGACAGAATATGCGACTGTTATTACTGTTAGATCTATTACATTCTTCTTTCTTTCTCTATTAAGCATTGCACAGGCCCAAAAGATTTAATATTTGGTTGCTCATATATCACATTATTGACATGCTAAAACCATGCTTGCGATATAAACCAGTCCATAGATTGTGGGTGGCTAATGTAGTACCCATCTAGCAGGCTGAAGTGTGCTGTTTTCGCAATCTGGGGGCCTTCGAAACTATTATAATAGTTTGTGGGAAAAGATCTGATGCTGATCACTATGATAATTAAATGACTGAGCACAAAGCATGAATAGTACTCAGGTCTTTGTTAATGCAACTCATGGTTAACAGGTACCAAATGCTATAAGTATGGGTGTGTTTACCTAAATATGGATTAAAATCACTACTAGTCTGTGCATCTTACTACTACCAGTCTACTGGATTGCACTTGCTGGAGCCTATAGCCTTATCTAAATAAATTAAGAAGGCCTGAACCTTCTCCAATAAGGTTGGAGCAAGGATTAATTGCTGTGGGTGGATTAATTATTTCATGAATGTGATAGATCATACTTCCCATCCTATTTTGTTTACTGATCTACCTGGATACATCGCCAGCTTGAATATCTTTTTACTATTTCTCTTAATCTCATTTGACATCTTACAACAAGTATGTTTGCCTTTAAGTTAATTAATCTAATCTCTTACTTTCTAAAAAGCTAATATACCAAGCAAGTGCTGTACTCACCAGAACTTAAGGTTTAGATACTAAGGAAAGATAAAGTTGACAGATCATACACAATTTCTTAGAGGACAATCAAGTTAATCAATCTCCCTTGCTTGCTGATAATTTTCAAGCATTCTTAAAAGTTTGCCCCTGCGTTCCTTTCTCTTACCCATTATAATGAACTAATCCCCAGTTCTTTGTCTGTGTTATCAGTACTAACTTAATGACTAGCCACCATATCCACTGGTGCTTGTAGGCTGGTTGACCATAAAATAGTTACTCTAAATAAGTAGCAAATAGCTCGAGAGTGGTCAGAAATGGGTAAATCTTTGATTTTTCTGCAATCTTCCATGGTTAAGACTTCTTTAGGCGTTTGCAGAAGACTGAAGCACTCGCTAAATGGGACTTGGCTTCCTCCACTATCATATATAAATGTTCTTGAGTGTCTGCACGTAGGTTTCACTGGAACCTAGTTCAAGATATTAGTGAGTGGATGAGATTTTGATTATTGCCTGACAATCTAAATGTGTCTTTTGAATGTTAGATTATTAAACTTGATTCAAGTTGGACTGACTGTTCAATAACAGAGTAGGTGAGGAACTGAGTGCTACTGAAACCTAGCCACATGAAAGAGCTTGCTTGGATGCAGGGTAAACTAAATTCAAAATTCATTGTCTAATAATCGGACCCTTCCTTACAATCCTTGTTTGCATAGATGGTAATGTGGCTATTTCTCATCTAGTTTAATGCAGATGTATGTGATCTAAAGTATGTCTCTTGCCTGGTCATGACAAAACATCCTGTTCCTGGGAATAGACAAAGCTCATCAATGAATATTGGTTATAAATTATGAATGTGTTTCTCCTGCTATATGGTGATATATGCAGTCCAGATTTAAATATATTGGGTAATACAAGACTGTACCACCTTAAGTTCAAGATAATTAGACAGGTGTTTAATCCCAGCTTGATTCAATTAGATGCCTTATTCAGGCATGCAGGAAGTATTATGGTTGTTTGCTAAACACTTTTGTCTTATGTATTAGCATGAAAATCAGTGCTTGGAAGTCTTTAATCCCATGCATTTATGCATATGAAGTAATGTGAAGACAGTGACATCTTGCATATCCCTCCACTAATTAAACAGGCAAGTAATTGTGATTTTCTACCTGCCTGTTTATAGAGCAGTTGAGGTGTTAGTAATGTCCCTCACTTACCTCCCTAGAGAGAATAGGATTATCAAGGCATACTTGTACTTGTGTACCCGCTAGACACTCCGGATCATCCTGATATTGGTATGGTACAATTGTCACCATGTCTGGGATGCAGTCCTAACCAAGTTCACCCTTAGTCTGGAGCCCTTGGCATCGCTACCGGCGCCTTTATGCGGGAGACGAACGCGGGTGTCTTATTGAGTCGAAAAGCAGACCGGACGCGCAAAGAGAAAGGGAACGCCAGGATAGCTGAGCCCAAAGGGAAACGACAAGAGTCACCCCGCCAGATGCTGTTGCATGCCCTTACACGTCCAGTGAAGATGTTGATTTTCTCCCTGATCGTCTTGCTTATCTCATTATACACTGGCATTACGTTCGGCCTTATCTCCTTACTTTTTACCACGTTCCCATTTGGTACTTCAAGGGGTCTACAGATTCGACACTGGAACTTCTGGATTGGCCTACCTTGGCCAGGGTTCGGTATGTTTCTCAGTCTTATTCTCTTCTCTGTTGTTAGCGATAAGCTTTTGGGCCAGACATAAGGCGAAGTCGTGGCCCAGGCCGAACAGCGGCTTATCTTAATGAAGTGGTTCGGTCCTATCACCCCGTTAGGTTGCTTCATATATGGCTGGAGCGCACATTACCATACACACTGGATAGTACCAATAATTGGGACTTTTATTATTAGCTTCGGCTCTTTATTCATCGTCATCCCAGGCCAGATCTATCTCGTCGATGCCTTTGGGGCGGCGGCGGCATCCACCCTCGCAGCCAACCTGCGCATCCGATCCCCTTTTGGTGCCTTTCTGGATCTTGCTACCGCGCCTCTATATGATACTCTTGGACTGGGCGGGGGAAACAGTGTTCTGGGGTTTATCACGCTGTCATTCATGCCAGTTCCGTGGTTACTTTATCACTATGGCCAAGCGTTGAGAACTCGTTTTGCCGTTGACAAGTACATGTAGTGAGAATGCCCACTTACTTTTTTACAGAATTAATTCAAATGAAAAATCTCACTAGACTTCTTGTCCATTTGGAATGTCTCAGATTTATAAAATTAATAGGTATCAATGTAGCAGGACCGACTGTAGAATCCTGGGTCCTAGGTGGGTTGAGTAATGAAGCCCTGTTCTTCATTACCCTCTTCTACCATCAATCAATCAATCAAGATTCTATTAACAGATTCTATTAAGCTAATGTAGCCTATCTATTAAAGTGATTAGCTATACATACGCTTTGCTGAATAGTATCTAAATACCTGAATCCTATAAACCCATGATGTATAGAAGACATAGGAAAATAGTGTATAGCTATTAGATAGAACATTGAAAGTAATCATAACTAAATTGCCCTGCTATGGTGATATATCTCCTCTGCACTATCCTAGCACTTCTAAAAACCTCTCCTGTATTATTCCTAATATTTAGTCTATCTAATACAATCACTTTACCTAAAGAGGCAAATACACTTGTTATGTGTGAATTTCAAAAGCAAGGCATTATATAGCCCCTTTAGTTAATAAAAATGCTGTATGAAGCAGACCTACAACAATCCTCTAACAACTCAAAGACTAAAAGACACTGTCGTTTCCTTATAGTACTGACTATGGCCTTTGAGGATATTAAATACTTTAACATCACAGATTCATCTTAGCACGCAGTAACTGTTTCAATGACTGTACCTTTCGAAAGAGCCCTATCTTCAGTACACTCTGCGCAAACTCTCCAATAACCTCTGCGCAGGCCTCGTTATCTTGCTTCCGAAACATGATTGCAGAGTCGTCGGGGCCTGTGAGTTGTATTTCACCTAGAAAATCGGAAATCCCGATAGCTTCTGCTGTCGATTGGAGAGCGTCCAGCAACAGATGGATAGCCGTACAAGTTTTGCTCCATCTCTCTCCTGCGTAGGGTAGTTCTCTGAGCCGAATATCTGGACTCTGGAAGGGTTCAGCCACCGTGGTCCCCCTCTTTGGCCCGGCCTCGGATTGCAAGCGGATGTAACTCTCAAAGTGATCCAACACAATGCTGCACAGATTTGTCAGGGAGATGTAACAACTGATGATCAGCAACTCGTTTGATATCCCGATCCCCTTCACTCCAGTAAGCCCCAGAGGCCTTGCATCAGCGTCAGTGAGGATATTTGCATTCAATCTCGTCCGAGACGCCTGTGAAGCGCTGGAAAATGTCTCCCTGGCGGTCTCTCGCTGAGGTCTGCGGGGATTGGGCACAGGATCGTTACCGTCGAGATCGGGTGATAGAAGCAGTGTTGTCTGCTGCATTCCTCGAAGAATATAGGTGAAGTCTCGAGACAGTTGCAGGACGCTTCCTATCGGGTAGTTATCCAGGTCGCTGGCGTTGTTGACGGTGGCCCAACTACGTCTATGCAGAGTATTTATTGTTTCGTTGATCTTAGCAACCAGCATTGACAGTTGCAGTACTGTGTCTGGGCCCTTGCTGTCGGAGATGCTTGAGATACCTGCCTGAACGTTGTCTGAGGGGACATTCGGCGATACGCTCAACGCTGCTGGCATCTCACCTCCCTCCCCCTGCAGATCAATCCATTGTGAAGCCTGCCCGTCGAGCGGTGAAAAAGCCGCAGAGAGATCGGAGATACTCGGGTGAGGCCATCCTCCATACAGCGTATCTTCCCCCACGAAGAGGTCCTCTTGGTGGATAGGCCTGGGCTCAATGTCACCTTGACGGGTACCTTCTGAATGGATTGTCTGTTCACTCTGCAAGCAAAGATCACCGCCACCATCCATAGAACGTGACTGCGTGGTCGTTGGCAGGTTTAGCCCCCAATCTATCTGAGCTGAACTTGCTCCTTGATGATGCTTCCGTCCTCGCGATCTCCGGCCAAACACACATTCAACTTTTGCCCGAGAGCATCTGACGCAACGCGGCTGGTCATCAGTCGAATCTCCAGGGGAAATAGTGCACTTGAGCTTGTGGAATCGACAGCGCTCACATGAGGAGCGGAGTGATAGGGAATTAGTCCGTGTTGCCATTTCAATCGATTACAGAACAACTGATACCAGGAATGGAGCTTCCTTTAATGAAAATGCGTTGGCGTTGTTGCATGTCACTTTCCAAGGGCCTCAGAGGTGTTATTTATGCATGAAACAATACCCATTACAGCGCCTTCTAAATGGTCTGACCCCATAGCGCAAGTTATGTGCTAATTAATGATGCAGGGATTCCATATAAAAGTTCATTACAGGATCATAACCACCAAGACACGCACTAATGCATGGTGGCACAGTCAAGTCACGTAAAGTACCCACGGGGTTAACAGCACCATTAGCCAACAATTTGTCTTTAAAAGTGGGCACTTATAAGACGAGCCCAACAGACATCAAGCCCGGCGCCATATCATCCTCAACCATTTTATCTCCTTCTTGTATTGAATGCGGGCTGGGGAAATATGCCCTGACATGTAATAAACACGGCTTGCCATACATGGTAGATGAGATGATATGCTGGCCCACGACCTGTTAATGTATAGTCATCATGGATGTTAACCACATGGCCATCAATGGAGCTGAATTTTTGTCAAGCCCCTGTAGCGGCATGCAAGTTGCTCGAAGAAAGTCCAAGGGACTAACATTCGGTCTTAATATGAGGCTAGACCTAGGAACACTGTTAGCTCTAGAGGCCGGCCCCTGTACAATGCAAATCTCTGTCATGGGCGTCCACACTATAGGCTATCGCCTTTACACCATTGGCTAAAATATTGTTAGACCACGGGGGGTGCATGAGCACGCTGTCTCAGATCCGTTAATTTCTCAAACGCTCTTTTAGCCGCATGTAGTCCTGGATCAATCCACGTCATTCTGGCCTGGGAAAGCCGACCTTGCCGCCAATGGTCGAACATGCCAGCTCCTCCTCTGTCCTCCCTGTCTCTGCCCCAGGTAGAGAATATCCCTCCTTTTCCACATCTCAGTATCACCATACTCACCCAGCCAGTAACTCTGCGAAATCAGAAGTGATGTGAAGTACTCCCAGGTGTTTTTAGAGTCCCACTCCCTTTATACTGGTTGCTTAGCCCGGCTTTAAGCCATTAAAGGTGAACATTGGCTTGATTGCATTGAGGGATCGATCAATATGATCCCTCACTCAAAGGTATACAGGATTCGTGGGGGTATTCATGAATCCACGACACTAATTATACTTTTATTCTTGGCGAAGCTTAGCTAAAGGCTCTGTCATAAAATGCCTCAGCCACCTGCAAGACAGTTAATCAGAACTACAAGACTTTGAATGCAGTCACACCCACCTGCTTAATCTCTATAACAGGTTCTTCTCAAGCCACTACAGTAAGCCGATTTGCCCTCAGAAGAGTGGAGAAGTATGAAACAGCGAAACAGACATTATCCGCATCTGCGAGAGCTGAAGAGAAGACAATCTATGAATCAATTTTATATATATATATATGAGCAAGCTGTGATGAAGCGAAAGACAGCGGTTGTGGAAAGTTGAGGGCCTTGAAGAGATGGTGGTGTATGGCCAACAGTACATACATCCAAGGAGGGTTGGCATATCTCTATGCCTGCGAGATTAGAGTCGAGAAAAGCCATGAGGCTTGAGCACAGTTATCTCTCCAACACCTAGTCAAACGAATTGATTCAATAACGCAATCAAAACCAGTTAAAACCAAAACTTCTATACACTGTCCGTCGACTCGAAGATTCCTATGTAGTCTAAGGTTTGAAGCTAACTAAAGTTGACAGGAAAGCTCAAGTAGAATTAACGCTAGACTAAAAGCGTTGCAAAGGCACAATTTTAATACTAGACAGAACGTTCCTACTCGACAAAGTATCCTGCTGAAACCCTCCACGTAGGTCCATTCCTGCAAGCACGGAAAATTGCATCCAGCCTATCCACTATCATGAGTTGGCCTTCGGAATCCACCAACTCACAGCCAGCAACGAACAATGGCCATATCAAACAAGTGTGAACATGATTGTCGGGTGAGATGCCGGCTACAAGTGAGAAGGTTGGTCATGTCGATATGTCGTGGACTTGGTCTGGACTTGGTCGGTCAGCAGAACATGTCTGTTTTCACAGTCACTTATTGAAGGACATTGGGGAGGGGCGTCTGTGTAGATCAGCACTACCTATACCAAAACTGAATGAAGCTTGACGGACTTACTGGCCATGGAGTATATTGCAAGCTGATCGGGCGACATAAACATGGAACTCGTGAGATTTCCCGGTGTTTGGGAGCCGAAGAAGGGGAATGAGAAACTCGAATCCGCTTCAAAATCTAGTTTGTCCGTTAGTTCCTATCATCACCATAATTCGGCCGCCGTTAATCCAATGAGTGTTTCTGGAATAAGCAATATCTCTAGGAGGGTATAACTTCTCCTACCTGAAGTATGCATGAATGCTTCACTAGGCGGATAAACAAATGGCGAGGCTTCGGACATAGTATCATAATTCGCCGACGGTGAAGGTATGGCGTGGCGATTTCGAAGAACAACGGCCAACGCACGGGTGGCCTTTCGTGCTTCTCGTGAGGAGCTGGAGCGCATCCAGATATCATAAGATCTTTTGAGGACTCCATAGATTTTCTCTGTCGGTTCGGTGTTCGCTTCCCCCTGGGGCGCACTGTTCTGCTGCAGATACGAGCAAAGTACACTCGCTGCAAGCAAGAAGTCATGATTCACCAGCGAGGACACGCGCCAGCGTTCCTGGTACAATTGGCAGAAGGGCTGGGTCTCTTCATCCAGAATATGCTGGTATTCCAAGATTTGTAGCGCTGCGTCCAAGCACGCCCTGTGAGAATAATCATACTGGTCTTGTGGCCGGGTAAGAAACTTTCGATGTAGGACGATCTTTGCCTTGTGGAATATGACATCCAGGAAAAGTTTTTGCATGATGATTTGCGGGGAGTCAGTAATGCAATGCGCCATTGATCTCCATTTCAGACATTCAGGTATAGAATTATGCGTTTCGTTCAATTTGCTATCCATTTTCAAGACGTCGGAGTAGGTGAACTTGTGCTGCCGAGTATCTGAGCCAAGGTCTAGAATGAGACCCAGAGTGGACATCATACGTGACTTAGACAGTCGATAGAGCATTGGCGTATTTTCGGTATCAGGGCGTGATCTGGGGAGTTCTGTCGTGTGTTGGTCAAAGTCACTGTCTAGATAGTTGTGGGGCTCCTCCGTATCCGCCTGCCAGGGTTTGATCAGGCGAGGAAGGCCCATCTGTGCCGAGATCCCCAGGTCCAGCTCCATGATGGTAGCCCACACGCGCCGTCTCATTTCCCCCGTGAAGGGGGACATTCCTTGATCTTGAAAGTGCTTGGGGTTCCGATGGAAGCCCATATGCATAGCTAGCTGAACAATGATTCCCAGTAAAAGGCAGATCCCAATCTCGGCATCTTTGCAGAGGAAGTGCTCGCAGGTGAAGTATAGGATCAATGTTTCCAACACGTATGGTCCACCCTTGTGGTATTTTCCAAGGATCAGGCACTGGACGATATTGGCCCTGAAAGCTTCCACCATCATCTGAGGGTCTCGCTTGGTAGATATCATTGGCTGCAGGCCCGAATCAAACCTGAATCGCTGGAATTGCGCTGCTAAGCACATGATAGCGAAGAGTAGACCTAGCCATATGATCGACGTCTCGGAGGGACATCTCCAGAACCCTTCGTACTGTACGCATGTCAGTTATTAGCTAATATTCATCCAGTGATGAACTTGACCTCTTTCAGAAATTCCACCCTGTGTAGAACAGCTGCAAAACGACAGTCAGCCCATGAACATTGCTTCTGCATTGAGCGGTTCTTACCTGGGGACATGTCAAAAGAATTGAAGTAACAGGACACAAGTCTGTCTACCTCGGACCGCTCTGGCATAGAAGCCAGAATATCCTCCTTGGTCGCATATTGGGGACAACCAGATAGCAGCAGCGGCCCCGTGGTCCCTGAATAGGGTGGGTCAGAGACCCGTCGGGTATGCTGCTGCGATCCCTCGGTCTCAAAATAGTCTCTGAGCTCGGAAATCCCATCCAGAACCGCGACCCAGTGATCAGCACCGACGTAGCTGGCGGTTCCCGAGTCGTTAACTTTCATGCTACCGTAGTCAGATTGAGAGGACACCCCATCGGTGTTAATCTCCGTCATGTGCATGGGACTGTTCGCCTGTGATGGAGCGAGGGATAGCATATCGGTAGAATCCTTACTAGTCTGCGTTAAGTTGACCACTAGGTTTTCCAGCTGTTGGATTCGGGCCTGCAGGCTCGGTGATGGGCGCCCAGGACTCGAGGGTTGCATGGCGTTTGGTGGGTACGTGCATGATTTGTCAAGTCCTCGCTTTGAACACGTACCGCAGGGGTATTCGCGGTCACATTTGAGTCTGAAGAAATGAACATCGGCATAGGATATGAGACATGGTATATCCAACGTTTATACATACTTCCGTCGCCTGCACAGGTTGCAAGAGAGCTGAGGCTTGGCGCGGCGCCTACTCGCTGAAGGGACTGTATCCGCCATCGTTGCTCAACAGTGATTTCAGGGTATTAGAAAGGGCAAAGCGAGGTCATCAGGGGCCGAAATCGAAAGGGTGTCGGTTGCTGGCAAGAGGGATGCACCTTAGAGAACGAAAGGTCTAATGGTTGAGGAAGGCAATCCACTCTTTTGCTAATGTGAGGCGGATAATCTCCGATTGACTCCGACCGTCCGATCCTCCGATCTTTTCCCCACAGTGAGTTATACTTATGCAAATAATCGGAATAATCCCATACTAGATGCTAACGATGTTCGGAGTTTGGTGCCTTGCATGCATGCTAGAGGATCAGACAGCTTGACCACAAAAACCAAAGCTGGTTAAGTAAAGTAAGTTGATCGGCTTAACCCACAATTTCAATACACCCAAGTTCACAGATAATCCCCGCCATGGCAACGATATCCCGTCTCTCCATTGCAAGTGCCATCACTGAGGGCCCTGTGCCCATGGCTCCCTTCATCTCGGGCTCTGCAAACCTCTACCCCAAAATGCCAGCCGCAATTGGTAAATCCGCCTGGGAGCTATGGTACTTTGACGGGATCCTTCCTTCTTCTCTCTCTCTCTGACATTAGACATCGTCTCCTATCAGGACCATCTCAATAACCGCAGAGTTGGAGGAGTCCTCCTTAGAAATTGAGAAAACTCTTAGCCCAGCTTTTGATGCCAGCTCGGTGAACATGCGGCCACTACGTCGCTTGCCACCAAAGTTCATCATCCAGAGATCCCCTGCCGCGATATGCAGCGAGGGTTCGGGGGGCAAAAGCTGCTCTGAGACGAGCACTCTCGAGTCTGGTTCGCAGGCCTCCCGGATATGACGGAGAATTGTGACACAATCCTCATCCGGCCAGTCGTTGAGAACCCGACGAATATGATAGACAAGCGCACCTTTGAACCATTAGCATCGGTGAGACTAAGACTAGACGAAATGTTGGAGGAAAACCTTTCACGGGCTGCTCATCAAAGAAGCTCGACACCTTCTTTTGAACAGGCCGCAAAACTTCTTCATTTTCGTCCGTTGCCTCTTGGATTGCCTGCGCTTGATCTTGGAGAACACACAGTCGCGAGGGAATCCTTGGATATCGACACAAAATGGCGTTGAGAGCTTGCCCCTTTCCACCTCCCACGTCCACAATCAAGGGCCGAGTACATTCCCGGCTATCTTGCTCGCAGTAGGTTACGTACTCCTCGATCCAGCTAAAGTCGTATGCCCCGATGACAGGCATATCGCCCAAAGCAATTGCCATGGTCCGATTAAATGACTCTGCCATTTCCGGCCTGGCTTCGAGAATTTCGTACAAAGATTTATCCGGCTGCCCCCAGGCGTGGCCAAACGGGGTGGAGGTGCTGGTTGGCTCGGAAGGGCCATGTTGCTTGAAGTACTCGGTCCACCTTGACATGGGCAACATGAAAAAATTAAATATATGGGTGTAGAACAGAACTGCCCGGTGGTCTTGGAGGATCACGGAAATTGGGGTGTGGGCGACGTATCCGAGCTCTGGAGATTCGAGAACATGACCAGCAACCAGAAAAGCAGAGAACCGCTCTAGCAAATTGAAGTCTGTCATGGTTGTGTCGGCTAGTTGTTTGATCGAGATGGCACTGCCCGCGGGGATCTTCTCAAAGATTTGATGGTCCATGAAAAACTTCACAGTGCCCATTTCTGCCATGGAGTAAAAATATCCATGAATGGGAGTTGGATGCTCATGACAGCGGCATTTCGCAAGGCTTGTCTTTCTTGTTCTGGATGTTCCGCCATCTTTCATTTAGAAAGTTCTTTAGAAGAGCAAACTTAATGTACTTAACATTAACGGAGGATCAAACAATGCGAATCTATAAGCTGATGTCGAAGAACTACATCGACTGAGCCTCTACTGGCTTTTGCAACGTGAACATTTCCTACAATGCCATGATGAGTACCGAAAATGGCCGAAGACCTCCGGATCGAACGTGCTCCTCTCTCCTGTCCCGACATCAGATCGAAAGACGGAGTTTAGGCCGGGCGCCTGTAACAGGCCACACTGTAGTAGGATGATCAGTGAAGCGGAGTAGCCCTCCAGGCAGTTTTCGCTCATTCTGAGCAAAGACTCAGCTACATACTAAGTGTAATCCTCTCTGTGGATCCAGGGGATCGTCGCTATGACTGACCGTCCGATCCTCCGAGCTCTTGTCCGCTTGTCTGCACCTTCAACTTTCTGAAATGCAACCGGGGATGCCCCTATACATCCGTGCTCTCAATAGGCGTACCTCTGATCAAGCGTGCTTTCTCTGTACTCGGATGTCCGCTTTGTCTTTCTTCAAATTAGAAACTGTATATCGATCAACTCGCTATGGATCTGATATGTTTGTCAGGGGCGATGGTTACAATAAGAGTGTCTTGTTTCCCTCCGCCGTGTTTCCCTTCATCATTCCAAGACCCTTCTGAGCCTTAAGAATTGTATCTTCCTTCGTCTCTTGCATCCCTCAATGGCCTCACTACAAGAAACTGATGTCGTGGACTGGGATGGACCTGACGATCCCGCCAACCCGCTCAACTGGCCCAAAGCGAAAAAGAACATCCAGGTGATTTTCGTGAGCATCTTCACCCTCTACGCGTGAGTAGCTGTCTCCCACCACCGTCTTGTCGGGACACTAACCCCGAGGGTTCTTGTGTCAGAAACCTGGCCGCCACCATGTTCGCACCTGGGGCTGCTGAACTGGTGAATGAATTCCATGTCACCAATTCCACGATCGAAGCGTTCACGGTTAGCATCTACGTGCTGGGATTCGCTCTAGGACCTCTAATTCTCGCGCCGCTTTCCGAGCTGTATGGTCGTCTAATCATCTACCACGTTTGCAATCTCTTCTACTTTGCGTTCACTGCCGGATGTGCGTTTAGCACGAACGTTGCCATGTTCCTCGTCTTTCGGTTTATCTGCGGCTGTGCGGCCTCGGGGCCTATGAGTATGGGTGGCGGAACAGTGGCGGATGTGACATCGCAGGAAGAACGGGGTAAGGCTATGGCCCTCTTTGCCGTGGGACCCCTCCTCGGTCCGGTATGTGCATGGCAATCTTTCTGTGGTTGATTCCAGGAAACATGTTAACCGACAATCTAGGTTATTGGGCCCGTCATTGGTGGTTTTGTATCCGAGAACATTGGCTGGCGGTGGACATTTCGCATCATCTTGATTATGGTGAGGCATCGTCCTGAATAATTCAACGACTAGGTACATTGCTCATTGAAAAAACGTGTTGCATATAGTCTGGCGTCCTCGGTGTCATTGCTATCATCTTCCTCCGAGAAACCAACGCCAAAGTTCTCTTGCAGCGAAAGGCAAGACAACTCAATATCGAAGCCGGAAAGGCCGAAGTGACCGCCCCAAATTCAAACGAGACTCCGTGGAAATTACTCTGTCGTTCTATTATCCGACCTGTCAAGATGCTCCTATTCTCCCCCATTGTCCTGCTTATTTCGCTTTACAGTGGTACTCTGTTTGGGGTCATCTTCCTGCTCTTCACCACTCTTCCCACGGTCTTTGAGACGGATTATCACTTCAATATTGGCGTTGCCGGCTTAGCCTACGTCGGTCTTGGCATAGGCATGATACTAGGCTTGATCCTGTTCGCGGTCATGAGTGACAAGCTACTGGGCCAAAAGCGCGGCGGAACTGTCGCTCGACCCGAGGAGCGCTTGATTCTCATGAAATGGTTTGCCCCCATCACGCCCCTTGGGTGCTTTCTGTACAGCTGGAGCGCATACTACCATCTGCACTGGATGGTCCCCATTGTTGGAACATTCATTATCGGTATCGGGGCGTTTTTTATTGTCATGCCGGCCCAGGTCTACTTGGTAGATGCTTTTGGGGCTGAAGCGGCCGCCTCGGCCTTGGCTGCCAATTTGGTCGTTCGAAGTCCGTTCGGGGCCTTTCTTGCTTTGGCAGCACCGGCCCTGTACGATCGGCTGGGATTAGGATGGGGTAATAGTGTGTTGGGCTTTATCTGTTTCGCTTTCACGCCGGTGCCGTGGTTGTTCTATCGGTACGGCGAATACCTGCGCACCCACTTCGCCATCACCTTGTGAGCGCATTACTTAGTACTATTGCCCAAGTCCTTTTGACTAGTTGAATCCACACATCGTCGGCAGCACAGCGTGGAGTTTCCTTATTTTAGACAGTTTGAAACAGACTGGGTTGTTCGCATCACTAACTCAGCCACGCGGCGTGGATAGTGTGCGTCTATTTACTACATATTTGGCCCTGAAGCCAAGACGAGCACATCTATATCCCTGTCACGGTAGCCCGATCAATACTCCAGGCAAGTTGTGAAATGGGGTTTGGAATTCTCGCTGGTGCAGCTAGGTCTGACACTCACACCACCGGAATCGTTCCAGTAATTCCATGCGAGGCAACGCAATCGGACCTTTGTTGGCCGTCAACTCTGGGTTGAAAAGTCGGGGTTTTTAGGCCCTTTTCGGAGATATGTACACTCGGCTGTGGAATTCTGCTGACAATGAAGTCACCGACGTCAAGTAGACTCCGATCCTCCTCAACCAGGAGCTCAGGTTGAAATATGCTTTCGTAGATCCCATCAGACCTCAGGACCCACTTTTGCCTTTCTCTACTTCATCTCCTGCGAGGAGCCTGATGTCCCATTGAGACATTGTCAACACACTATGCCTGCAGACGTTGGTGAGCTAGTCCCGGCCCTAGGGGGTCAGGGTTATCAAAACTCGGCTTCGAAAAAATCACCCGTGGTCACTACCACCCCTGTCGAGTTAGACAATTCGGAAACCAGTCAACAGAAGCAACAGCCAGAGCTTCCACTTCACCAGTCAACTACTCGCAAGCCATTCCCATTCGCCAGATCAGATCAGCTACCTGCGAGACCTTCTTCATGGAGATATCTGTTTGAGCCATTGGAGAGCTAATCAGTTGGCAAAATCAAGGAAGTCTGTTTGCAGGCACAAGCAAGCCAATGGCACTTCATTTTGGCAGCTCTACAAAGCTTTATCTTTCGATACACCGAGGACGACGGCGCGTTGCTACTTCTCAAGGTTGAGCATGAGCTTTCAACTGAGGTTGTCCCTCTTGTTAGCTGGACCTCAATTCAATGCGGACAGTGCGCCGAGAAGAAAATCGTTGATCTTATCGCCGATATTAAACAAACTTCACAAGCGACGTTCAACCGCGCCAGCTCTGCCTGCGGCCCTCTAGATGGAATACGAAGCAGCAAAGACACCGGTAGTTTACCCTCTGCGCAGGTTGCTGTCAACTATCGCGTTCACCACCTTGCATCAACCCATCATGACTCGCCGTCTCTAGATATACATACCCAGTGGGGAATACAGCTTCATGTCTTTGATACCCCGGGCGCGGGAGTACAGGTACGACTGGATTATTCTCCCAGCCAATATACCTCTAGTGTTATGGAGTTATTCTTCGACAACTTCTTAACATTTCTCGTGAATGTTGCAAACGCCCCCGGCCAGTCACTTGATTTGATACCTATGTGTGGAGCAAAGGAGATCGCGCGGCTGAAAAGACATTATTGGAATACAGATTTCACACCTGATCCATGGGGAGGTCTAGGCATCTGCCAAAGGATACTCGGTCAAACCCAAAGGAATCCGGACGCAGTGGCCGTCATGACATCAGATGGTGCCAGTTTGACATACTCGCAGCTTGTCAACGAGGCACAACGTGTGGCTGTCTGCCTCCATGCATCGGGCGTCACTAGTGGTGATAAAGTTTGCCTGCTTATGAAGCCGGGAATCAACGTTATAAAAGGAATGCTTGCGGTCGTATGGATGCGATGCTGCTACGTCTTTCTAGACAGTGACTTCGCCCCGGAGAGACTGGCCACTATCACCGCTGATTGCGGAGCGAATGTCATTGTGTTTGAACCAGAGCTTCAGGAGTTGGCGAATGACTTGGATGTTAACAATGGAACTCATCGAAAATTGATCAACATTTTAGAAGCCCAGCAGTTTTGGGGCAGGGCAAGTGTATTTCAGCCTGAAACGAACGATGCCTTCTATATGATTTACACTTCGGTAAGTACCTCCACTCCGAGCATCAGACTTACTGGACTGATTCCAGTTAGGGCAGCACCGGTACACCCAAGAGAGTGGTTCTCTCGCATGGCAACACGCAACAAATGCTCGCATCCCTCAGCCAGTACTTCCACCTGTCCCCCGACGACCGATTTCTTCAACAATCATCGCTTGCATTCGACTTATCCGTCGTACAGGTATTTTCCGCCCTGTGTGCGGGTGCTCAAGTCTGTGTTGCCACTGCAGAATTGCGCAAGGACCCATGGAGGTTGGCGTCTTTCATGCAGCAGGTGTCCATCACCGTGAGCTATTTTACACCAACGCATTTTGCCCTGTTAGTGGAGAATAATCCAACGGCACTTCGCCAATGTCAGCACTACCGGATCGCCATGTTCGCGGGCGAGCGGCTTCCAGTGCGACTGGTCAAGGCATTCTACGACCTTGCTATCCCAGGTGTCGTGTACAACACATGGAGTCCCAGTGAGCTGGTGGTTCAGACGACCATCCACAAGGTAGATGAGCCCGTGGAGGGGCTTACCAACATCCCCATCGGCTCCCCACTTCCAAATTGCCGGCATTATATTGTGGACGACGCTTTAAATCCGCTACCAGCTGGGTTTGTCGGGGAGATCTGTGTGGGAGGCGCTCAAGTTGGGATGGGGTACCTGAATCGGCCCGACGCCAATGCCAGATCCTTCATTCAGAACCCATTCTGTTCGCAGGAAGATAGAGCTAGAGGCTGGTCAACACTATTCCGAACCGGTGACAAAGGACGATTTCTGCCCGAGGGCCTGCTAGAATTCCACGGTCGAATTGAAGGTGATAAACAGACAAAGCTACGAGGGTTTCGGATTGACCTCGGGGAAGTCGAACAGGCGTTGTATCAACGTTCGAAGACGGGAACCGGTCAGGGCATTGTTGACATCGCCGTCATCGCGAGATCTGTTGCTGAAGAGGCCGAGTCGGCCTCCCTGACCGACGACCGCCAAGTGATCACCTTTATTGTCCCCAGAATACCGCTTCGAACGACAAGGGAACAGACCGAGTATACTACCTTCCTTCACCAAAATGTCCAGCCTGTCCTCAACCAATACATGTTACCCAACGGGTATCAATTTTTGAGCAAATTGCCGACCACAATTGGAGGAAAAGTTGATCGGCAAGCCCTCCCGCGAATGAAGCTTTCTTTGGTCCATCCATCCGGTACTCTCTGCTCAGATGAATCGCTAGGGCCGTCTTCAGCTCATGTTGATATCGTGAATGATGTGATTGAGCTTATGAAATCAGTTGTCGGACAGGACCGAAGCATCGCACCTGGTTCTAATTTCTTCCATGTTGGTGGTCAGAGCATTCTGCTTCTACGATTACGGTCAAAATTGAATAAACGATTTGGTGTGGCCCCTCCGCTGCAAGAGATGTTCAATGAATGCACCCCCCTCGCTCTCGCAAGGACGGTATCGAGTCTCCGAGCTGTGAAAGAGAGTGGTGGCGCGAGAGAAGATGCAAATTCTTCAAAGCCAGTCAATTGGTCTCACGAAACCGCTTTACCGACAAGCCAAGAGTACTTGAACTTTGATCAACTATCACGGTTCCGACGCCCAGAAGTAACGAACATCCTACTTGCCGGGGCTGATACATATATTGGTATCCATATGTTGGCCAAGGTCCTTAGCACAGGACCTAACGCATTGGTACACCTTCTGGGAACGATGCAGGCGATTCAAGCACCTGGTTTGATTGCCGACATGCACAAGTATCGGTTGTTTCGAGACGGTCTAACGCCGGCAAACGTCCTGTCGCGTATCAAGATAGTCCCTGGTAGCATGGTCGCTCGGAACTTTGGCCTGTCCGATCAATCTTTCCGAGACCTGGCGACGTCAATCCATGCAATCTATAACCTCGCCGTGGAGGTGTCTTTGCTCAAAACATACCAGGCTCTGAAGGCGACCAACACCAACGGTGTCCGCACTCTTATCGCTTTAGCCAGTAGCAGTGCGAGCGGCCGTGTTCCTGAAATCCACCACCTGTCAACCTGGAGTATTCCCCATATGCAAACCTGGCAACTCTCGACGCGTACTCGCGCCAATGTGAGCACAGTGGAGGAAAGTCCCGCGCACTTCTCCCCTCCGGCTAACGATGGGCATGGGTACTTGAAATCACGATGGGCGGCCGAAATGATCCTCACAGAGGCTGCCAACCGTGGTTTACCAGTTTCCATCTATCGAGCTTCTGCTGTTTCCGGGAGTTTGATCACCGGGGTAGCGGCTCCCAGCCTGGACTTTGTCAACAACATGATCATGCATATGATCCAACACTGCCTCGTTCCCGATATCTCCTCTAGTCGCGTGAACGGCGGGGAGTTCGTGATTGACTTCGTTTCAGTGGATATCCTGACTGACGCGATTGTTCACCTTGCCTCTGAGGAAACTATTTTCGACCCAAGACTCAGTGTCTACCATCTTGGGAGTTCCCAGCCACTTCCCTTGAGCCAGCTGCCCCTCATTATACCAGCTATTCGGGAAGATGGAGCAGCTCAGGGGTCTCCGTTGGCTCCGACCGTGCCCATAAAAGAGTGGTTGAGCGTGGTACGAGACGGGGCTGGGGAGCAGGAACAGCTTTACTGGACCGTTGTGGAAGAGTATCTGCAATATGGGCATATCATGTTTGCCTTAGATCGTGGTCGCGCAGTGTCTGCATTGAGGACAGCGGGATGGGCAGAGGAATTTCCTACAATCGATGTGGATTATCTGCAAAGGTTGTGGGGACAGACGATGTTAGAAAGGCGCAGGTAATCCAGGGGCATAAGGGTATGACGGAGACGAGACAATGACAGACTTGCTTCTTTGAACCCAGCCTTCGTCCATAACGCCGTTCCATCGTCGGGAAGATCAGACGATGAATAGCTCACCGTTGTACAAACTGGCGTAGGCCGACGCCCTGTATAAGATGATGTATTTTGCCGTCGTCTGCCACCGTAGTGACGGTTTGATTAAGTCTAAATACCTACCTGGAATGTGGATGAAGACATAACGTCGCCCGGCTCGTCAGGCTGAGCAACCTGATGAGGTTCCAAAGACGGAAGTGGTATTACTAATAGTCAGTAGAAATGATATAAACATAGAAAGTTCCCAAGCATTAAGATATCATCAAATTTAGGCCTAGCATACTATCTCTCCAAGTGCCTACACAGGAATGGGACAGACGAGCTTCTTCCCACGCACAAGTCCCTCTCGGATTTTATCCATCCCATCGAGAGTCCCTTGAAAACCATGATGCTGTACATCAATAGGGTGCACCTTCAATTCCCCTCGAAGAAACAGGTCCTCCACGATCTGGCGCCAGCGCTGTCCAAACTTACGAATCTTGGGGTCCACTGCCCGGTAATGGGGCTCAGGCCAAGCGATCTCTTTTCCGATCATTGTCGGGCCCAGCACCCAGTCCGGCCTGACCATTTTTCTAGTCGCTGCCACAGTTTTGGGGAAAGGATCAAGGCCGGTATAATACCCCCCGGCACGACCTATGGCGCTGTAGCAGAGTTTCATGCTCTCCACCGTGGTAACGCAGTCTAGGGCATACCGTAGGTTGTTCTTCGTGTAGGTCCGGATGTCACTTGCACAGCTAGGCGAGGTATAATCGAACACAGCTGTCGCCCCGTACGACTTGACCAGCTCAAAATGACCGGGAGAGGAGGTTGCGAGCGGCGCAAAGCCCGCCAACCGAAGCAGCTGAATAGCAGCAGTGCCGCTGGCGGTCGATCCGCCAGACACAAGGACTGGGATCGGTCGTGTCCTTTGGCTCGGTTGAGCTGAATCTCCAGGTAGTCCGAGACTGTAGAAAAGCGCAAGCCCAGAGGTCATGAAGGAGGTCCCGATGGCTGCGGCTTGTGCATAACTCATAGTCGGTGACATACGCAGAACGTTCGTAGCAGAGACTCCCACGTAGGTTGCAAAGGCTCCGATCGACGGCTCGCGGGGGTTCATGCCCATGACAGCACCGTAAACCCTGTCTCCGACTTGGATACCCTTGGAGCTGGCGTCAGGACCGACAGACACGACTTCACCCGCAAAGTCACAGCCTGCAATCGCTCCGGCTGTAATGTAGGGACCGACCATCTTCGTGTCAACGGGATTGATCGAGACTGCCTTGGTCCGAACCAGCAGCGTATCGCCAGTGATGGCTGGGACGGCAGCTTCATGGGAGATGGCAAGATTGCCATCAGCAGTACCGACAATGGCGGTCTGGAGGGCAGGCAGTGCAATCATGGTTTCTCACGAGATCAAAATTTGGTCTTCTCATATTCTCTCCATTCTGGATTTGCAGTTTTGAACTTCCTTGTAACCCCCTCGCCCCCTCCACGAGCCCGATTCGGAGAACTTCGGTGTTTGTTTTATTTCTCACCACCCTCACCAATCTCGTTCCGAATCAGCCTCGTAGGCGTCTGTAACCCGCTCCTTTACGGAATCGGAGCTTCACCCCACGAGGATTTTGAATCGTCATCGCCGACAGGATCGGCGTTGGCACGGAACAGTGAGACATTGACGCTGAACACTCCGAATTCTAACTCAGAATTTGGGGCATCACTAGGTCAAATGGAACTGCTGCAATCAGTCTCCGAATTCCGAAGGTTCCGCTGGGGCAGACCCCTTGTGGGATTTGTGGTGGTGCAATTGGAAGGTTTGTTGACTGTTGATAGTCATTGATCTTTGCTCACGGAACGGATATATCTAACCAAGTTGTGATGCAACAAGAGAGGCAACCTTGGAACTTCTCTCCCGAACAAACAAACAGACCTTACCTTCCAACCTGGGAAGGTTGTTACTCTATCGATTTGATCTAGTGAACTGTACACAATGGCAACAACACCAGAGCCCATCGCTATCATTGGCAGCGCTTGTCGTTTTCCTGGCGGATCAAACACTCCATCAAAACTGTGGGAGTTGTTGCGCAACCCCCGCGATGTTCTTCAAAAGATCCCTCCAAACCGCTACGATCCTGGAGCTTACTACCATCCAGACCCCACGCATCATGGCACCACGGATGTTCAGGAACCTTACTTCTTCGAAGAGGATCCGTTTGTGTTTGACAACACTTTCTTCAACATTCAACCTGGAGAAAGCGAAGCCATGGACCCTCAGCACCGGATGCTACTCGAAACAATCTACGACGCTCTTTGCGATGCCGGCATTCCAATGGAATCGCTGCGCGGATCATCTACATCCGTATTTGTCGGCTTGATGTGCGATGATTGGAGTGGCCTTCTGACCCGGGACTGGGATGCCTATCCAACGTATGCCAGTACGGGCATGGGTCGCAGCATTGCATCCAACCGCATTTCCTATACCTTCGACTGGCATGGTCCATCCATGACAATTGACACCGCCTGTTCCTCGAGTTTGGTTGCTATACACCAAGCCGTCCAGACAATTCTCAGTGGAGAGTCTCGCGTTGCTCTTGCCGCTGGTTCAAATTTAATTCTCAGTCCCGGTATGTGGAGGAGATTGCCAGTTTCCCAAAAACAATCCCTGGCTAACGCTCTGATACACATTGTCTTAGCCATGTACATTGCGGAAAGTAAGCTGAGAATGCTGTCTCCGAACAGCAGATCCCGAATGTGGGATGCTGGCGCTGATGGATATGCGAGAGGTGAAGGCGTAGCGGCGGTCTTCTTGAAATCGCTCATTGCTGCGCTGGAGGATGGAGATGATATTCAATGCGTGATCCGGGCCACCGGTGTGAACCAAGATGGACGCACACCTGGTCTCACCATGCCCAGCAGTAGTGCGCAGGCTGAACTGATCAAACAGACGTATCTTCGAGCGGGCCTGGATATTGATGTCCCTCAGGACCGGCCTCACTTCTTTCAAGCTCACGGCACCGGCACTGGTGATCCCCAGGAGGCCGAGGCAATTGCGCAAGCCTTCTTTAAGAATGGTAACCCATCATCGACAAACGAAAGATTGTTGGTTGGCTCTGTCAAAACTGTAATCGGCCACACCGAGGGCACAGCGGGACTGGCCAGCTTGATCACCGCCGTCGAAGCCATCCGCCACGGCATTGTCCCCCCCAATATGCATTTCAATCACCTGAGTCCAAAAGTCGAGCCCTTTTACGAGCATCTCGAGGTGCCCACAGTGGCAAAGAAATGGCCCAGTACATTACCGGGCCAGCCTCGCAGAGTTAGCATCAAT